TGATGCAGTATTTCTCTCATGGCAAACTACCCTATGACTTCTATGCAAATGGGTGAAGGAGACGCTCTGGCAGGCCAGAGGGACTGGCGAGTCCTGCCACAGGCTGTGGGGTGGAGGTGGGAGGCCCCGGAGGAAGGGCAAGGACTGAAACTTTTTTTACTTTTGAAGTTGCGTTAGCTGTATCGTTGTTAACAAGTATCTGAATTTAAGGCATCTGTTAAATTAAAGTGATGGGTAGTCAGATTTTTGTCTCACAGCCACAGACTGCTCCCGTTTGCCCATAACAGAAGTTTAGTTAGTTCTAGTTTTCTTTTCACAGCTCCAATCATCTGTAGCTGTGCGAGGGAGGGTTTCTCCCATTCTTTGTATTAGCAGTAAAAATGAAGCAACATTTTATTACAGGGCTGAACTGCCAGAGCCTTCTGGGGATGATGAGGGGACTATGAACACAGTAGGTTTCTCACTGGTGTAATTATACAAATTTTAGGCTTTGCCTGGGGGATATTTTTCATAGAAGATGCAAGAGAAGCTTGTTATGCAGTGCTGATATAAACAAATGCAGACAAGGGCTGTTTGAGCAGAGTTAAAAGTATAGGCACTAGACTTTGTCCTTACAAGGCTCCTTACCCTCTCTGCTGCAGTGCTTCACAACAGACATAGCTGTCTGCCTCTCCAGTGTTTCTGGGCTGAATAGAGCAGTTTGAATAGGTGCTAAATAGCTGCAGCTTCTACTAAATGACAAGGGAAGGAAAGGTATCCACCATCTCCTTAACTGGGAACTGTTTTGCTATACGAAGGAGTTTTAGTGACCCCAAAGCATCTCATCTTTCCCCTTTTTTGAGAAATCAGCTTAGAATAAGGCTCTGAGCATGCTGTCCCTTTCCTCCATCATGAAGCAACCTTGCCCAGCAGTCCTATGGGGTTGAAATTGACCAGGACTTCCAGAGCACCTGGAAATTAAAGCTAAAAGTGGAGTCTGCGCAGGTGCTCCAGGGTTGTGGTGCCATGGGACTGTGAGACTGAAGGCTGTTTGGGAAAGTGAGAACTAGAGCTAGACTGAGGTGTGCTCTATGGGGCCTTGGGCATTTTTTTGTAAACTTTTCCAGGTGGATTTGTCACCCCTGAGCCAAGAGGGCCCTGGTGATGTGCAGGAGTCATCTGGGAGGAAGCCCAGTGTGTCTGTTGTCACTGCCGACGTTGGCCTGGTCAGCATGGTCCGGCAAGGGATCCTGGCGCTGCAGCTCCTGCCCTCCAACTCCAGCGCAGGTTGGCTGCGTCCTCGGGGTTAAGGTTTGCCCAGTTGTTTGCGAAGGGTTGTATTCCTCTTGCCTTAGGATGAGGTTAATTTTGTAAGGGCTAGTGCATGGATCCTTCTGTTAGGGATGAAATTTCACCAGTAGCTTTTACTCTCCACTCGGTAGTGGTGGGAATGGGCAGGACAATGCTGTGCCGTGTGCCAGCATTGGGGAGTTTGTGAGGAAGGACAGCTGTGACTTGCTGAGAATAGCCTGGGGTATGCAGAGCTGTGCCCTCTCTGAGTGCTTTGCTGTACCTAGTGAGGATGTTTGCCAGTTTCATAATGCCTTGGAAGCTCTAAACCATCCTGAGGATTTTCCTTCTACTTTTGCCCTGCCTAAACTTAATTTCTGGTGAATACACTGGAAGATTGATAGGTGTTTGACATGGAAGATACACTAAGATGCTGCCTTGTTTACAGGCATAATAATAATTACGGATGGTGTGACTAGTGTCCCTGATGTAGCTGTGTGCGAGACTTTACTGAACCAGCTGCGCAGTGGCACAGTGGCCTGCTCCTTTGTGCAGGTATGTCTGCTGTTACCTGGGAGTGTGAGGGCTGCTGCCCTCTGGAGGGAGGGAGGTGGGTTGTTGCTGTTGGTGTTTACCTCCAGGGGAAGAGGGACCTTCTCTGCCTGTTCGAGATCTTTACCAGCCCTCTGGCTTGCCCTCAGCACTGCTGTGCTCTCTCAGGTGTCTTCTTTATCCATCCTGTAGGTGGGAGGTGTCTACTCATATGATTGCAGCTTTGGCCACGTTCCCAATGTAGAGCTGATGAAATTCATTGCCATGGCCACTTTTGGTGCTTACCTCTCCACATGCCCTGAGCTGGATCCCCTGAGCCTGGATCTGAACGTGTATCACAAGGCATTTCTGCTGTACTCCTTTCTGCGTACTGGGGAGTCCCTGAATCCAGAGTATTACTGCGGTGAGGAATGCGCATGTCCTGCTTCCAACAGATGGATGTCTTACAGCACCTCTCTTTGGGGTGACTCTGCCAGTATTGGTTATGCTGATACTCTCCCTTGTTCCCTCTGGGCCATGCCTTCTATGGGGTCTGGGCATAATTGGTCACACAGCCTTGTCTGTGACTCTCCTCCTTGTTCCAGGAATTGGGTGCACCAGGGAAAACTAATGTCCCATTTTCCACCATTCCCTTTACTGTGGACTTAATTCAATCTGCAGTTAGGCTTGCTGTGTTGGAATTTGGAAAGGGTCAGAAGCTCTCGCCCACCCTCCCCTGCATGCTGGCTAGCTCACAGGTGGGGACATTCTGGAGAGCTTGTCCTAAGTGGGCTTGCAGACAGCAGTTTGGATTGAAAAACTGGACCCCTGAAAACCATTCCAAATGCCTCGCTTGGTAGTTATTATTCTGTGCATGTTATTATTGACTGAGAGTGTTTCAGGAGAAATTATTTACCAGTAAAACACAAAAACACCCTTTCAAACCCTGACAGTATGCTGGTGCCCTCTGCCCCTGGGTACCTTGGCAGCAGAAGCCACATAGAGTGGCTTTGAAGAGAGCTGGCCTTGGACTTGGAAATGTTGAATCTTAAAAAGATGAGTTGTTAGTGGTTTAAACTACCTTTTAGAAAGCACCTGGGAATCGAGGGTTTTCCAGAGTAACTGGTAAAGACCAAAAGCTTGCTGTGCGACTGTTGAAATAGCTGTGCAGTTTCTGCCTGTCAAGGCTAAACCTGTAACCCCAACGTGTGCCTTATCACAAAAACTGTCGCAGAGGAAGCAGAGCCTGTCACCCCACCCTGCCCCCCTCCGAGGCCTCTTGGCCACGCTGGTGAACCTGCATGCTGCGTTGCAAAATCAGGAGTGGGTGTAAGTGGTGCCTAAAGGATGTACTGTTCTTCAGGCCAGCGAGTGCTCCTGGCAGCTTTTGTGAAAGACTTTGAGAGTCCTGTTGCTGTAGGATGAGGCTCAGGAGATAATCTCTCACAAACACCATCTCTGCCATTTGCAGTGTCCCAGCACAGACTGTTCAATGAGCACCTGGTGTCTGCAAGCAGCAACCCTGCGCTGGCGATGCGGAGGAAGAAGCACACTGAGAAGGAGGTGCATGCTGACCTCGTGAGCATCGTTTCGGTTCGGCTGCGCGAGGGCTACAGCATCCGTGAGGTCAACATCACAAAAGGTGACTGCTGCATTGAGGGCGGAAGACTCGGATAGGACTCTGTTCTCAACTGATTAGAGGAAAGTAGAGGGTCTGTCATCTCAGAGTGGCTGGGGGGGGGGGGGGGGGGGGGAATTTTCCCAAAACTGTTTTCATGAATAGTTGCCTAATGCAGGACTCTCTGGTATTCTTGTGCAGTTATGCACTGGGCTCATGCTCTGTGGCTGTAAGTGCTTGAGGAGGGACAGTCAGTGACTCTCGTATCTTGGGCATGAGTCCCTGCAGTTGCAGAGAAACTAGTGACAGAACTTGGGTATGCAGAGTTTTCTGGGATTTTGTCTGTATTTCTCCTTTTTTTCATCCCTTTCTAGTCCTTTGCTAGATGCACTCTGAAATAGTTGAGCCCTTTAGTGCAACAGAGTTAATGCCTCCAAATTACAGTCTTCCAAAGGAAAAAATTGGGTGAAACAAGGATATTGTTAGGTGAAAATGCCAGATCAGTCATGACCATGACCAGTTCTAGAAGACTATAAAGCCTTCCAGTGCTCCTGTTCTCTTATCTGACTCGCTAGAGGTTATGGTACCTGGAGTGTGAGAACTGGCTGCGAAGTAGGGACCTTGAGGGGTTTGAGTATCCTAAGGAGTGCCAGGAAATCCTGCCTAACTTTCCATCTCCAGCAGTCACTAGTGGTAGTACTTTAACTGAAGGGGAGATGAAAGAATCCAAATGGGAGCTTATTAGTACACATAATATGTTTTATATCAGAGAATCAGAGGCTGTGATATAACTCCAAAATCATTCCAAACTTGCCGCGTGATGTTTTCTATGCATTTACTGTGGTCTGCCTTAAAACCATGTAAATACCTTATGCCACTTCTCTGCAAGGAAGATTGTCCCAGAGCTTCATTGCTCTCTCTAGCTTCCTTTCTAAACTCACTGAGACCAAATTAGACCTGTGTAACTTTATTGTCTTTAATTAAAGTTTATCATCCTTCTGTGGCTTGCCCAAATGTATTTAAGAATATTGTCTTTCTCCTTGTAACCTCCCTTTTGGCAGGTTAAGCAAGCCAATATTTCACCTTTCCTTCTTTAGGGCAGGCTTCCTGGTTTTGTTTATTCAGGTTAATAGCACTTATTTTTTTCCCTTCAGTTGTTCTCTTTCCACAGTTTGGTCTCATATTTCTCCAAACAGTTGATAAGAGTGTTGTAAATGTGATTTTATTAGTGCCCTGGTCAGCAATGCCAGTCATTCCCTGCTTCTGAAGTAAAGTACCAGATCTGATAGACCTCAGGAATCACATGAGCTTTCTCCATGATTGCATTGCTTTGTTAGCACAGAAATCCCTAAATCTTTCATGCACCTTTTCTTCCAGCTGATGAGTCCTTAGACATGTTTTCTGGGGTTTGTTTGTTTAGTAGTCCCTAAGTGTGCTGTCCCTCACATGATAGTACTCTTAAGTTCAGCTCGCTCAGCTCGCCTTGCTGTTCCTGTGTGATGACTGGGAATTGCAGTTCTTTTGCCTTGATGCTTTTTCCAAACTGAATGGATCTAAACCATTTTTTTGGGGAAGTTTGCTAACAATCATATTACGTGGGATAATTTCTAAAGTTGGTTTTCCAGGAATCTCCCTAATTTCTTGTTTCAGGAGTTTTCTGTTAAAAGTAACTATCTGTGAAAGTTTCCCAGGGAGACAGCTGTCCTGGCGATGTCTGGGGATTGCTTTCACTACCAGAGGTGTGGCATGAGATCCTTCTCTTAAATCCAGGCAGATTAGATCTGTGGCACTCTCCTTGTCTAGGAATATCTGTGAAACAGTCTGACAAGTCAGTTCCTGTCCACACTGTGTCTTTTATCCTTCTGTGCACCAGTTCACTTACAGCTTGAACAGTGCTGGATAAAGAGCCTTTCTCTTTAATCTGGCAGCAGTGGTGAAGTGCTCTTGGTGACTGTGTGGTCCTATATTGAAATGCTGGAAGAGCAATCACGAGGTGTGAATCATTCAAAAAGCGGTCAGACAAGTTCCCATTGTATCATTTTGCACAAAGGTGTAGCTACAACCTCTGGGTCAGGATATTGTAAAGCAGCAAGTTCCTGTACTCTGGAGGAATGTGTCAGAAATATCACCACATGTTCACTGTGCTCCCTGCACTTTCCTCTAGATATCTTCCTGGTGCCTTTTAGCCCTTGGAATACTAAATGAATTGGTCTTCCGTTTTTACAAGAGCACGGAGCAGAAGAGCATCTGCACTGGATCAGTTACCTTCTGCGGTGAATAGCTATGGGCAGGTGCACAGAAAGGAGTAAGAATAGGGTAAACATACATGATAATCTCCTTTCTCCTTCCTTTTTCCTTCCCTTTGAGCAGTCTATAGATCTTTGCAGCTCAGGGACTCCCTGAGCCAGAAATACTTTCTGTGTATTTTTTAGGGGGAATTTAAAAATGAAATGTCAGAGGTATCAAAAACACAGTGTGTATTTCTATGCCAACCTTCAGAATAGTAGGAGATAATGTTACTTATACTTTGGAAAGGCTGAATACTCTGGGGAGTTGCTGTCTGTGATCAGAAAAATTGTTGAGCTAACATGCTGAAGTAGAATTTACAAAAGATCCAAGACATTTAGACATTTAGCACTGCCTTTGCTAAGAAAAAGCATGTTTGGCTAATCAGAGGTCTCCGGGCCATTCTTCAGAGAAGAACAAAGAACAGTTAATTAACCTGGATTACCAAAACTTGCAAACTGAGGGCTGTTAAGGAGCCAGCTGGCTGTGAAGCAAGAGGAAAAGAGTGCAGTTGTGGACTTTGACACTGTTGCTTTTCTCTTTCACTTTGCCAAAGGCAAAATGAAATAAATAGCTAGCTTTGTGCTCAGAGTTGCCTGGAGAGGTTGTTTGTGATATTTATAAGTGCTCTGGTTACCCTCACTGTTTGATTTTTTAGATATTTAGGTGTTTGGAAGGCAACCATGGTTAGTTAGGAATACAGAAGTGCTTGTGAAAGGGGAAGGATCGGAAAGTATGGAACAGAGTGAAGCTGTGGGGCCATGGTTGTAACAGAGTGCAGCTCTTTTCCTCCTTCTTTCAGGGACAGTGTCGGGATTTCTCCCTCTAACAGAAAACAATAATTCTCACTGACCATTTTGTGTTAAGGAGAGCCTGGATGACATATTTCAAAATGTCCTCTTCCTCTGTGAATCTGTCCAGCACCAAAAATGTCTGGGCATTAGCTGGCCAGTGAGAGTGGCTATTCTCAGTGTCAGGAACTGGGAAGATGAAGTGAGATTTCTGAAGTAACAGAACTGGATTTGATGAAGGAAATTAAAGCAGCAAAAACCTTTATTAGCTATAAAGTCAAGAACCAGAAGTTTGCAGTAAGAAAAAGCTGGAGGTTCATCTGACTTCAAACTAAGTCAATATTTTGCCTGTGTTTTTAGTTTTGCTTGTGTGGGATCCTAGGATTGAAGCCAGGATGACTAATGGAAACAGAGGTGGATGTTGGAAATATTTTCACTAATGATCTGAGCAAAAATGTAGGAATTTACTTATCATGTTTGCTGTTGATGAAATAGAAAGGTTTTATTATGAGAACTAAAATATTGTGCAGAAAGCAGTGGGTGAGCCCTAAAGCAATGAGTGAGGTGACAGTATGAAATAGAAAGAGAGGAATTTATAAATTCTTGTTTAGCCTCTCCGATAAACTAGGCAATCTTCACAGGAAACAAGAGATGGTACAAACCTGGCAAATGCATTTATAGTAACACAAAACACCAATTGTGGAAAATAGTAGTGACTTTAAATAAAATCCTAGTAATCCCTCAGGTGATGTGCAGATGAAATATAATACACACATTTGATCATCTTGGTTCAGGAAAGATGAATTTTTGAGGTGCAGGAAGATCTGGGACTATTGAAGGGAATGTGTTCTGAAACTGGGTAAGGATTTCTTAGTGTTGTGGGAATGAAGCTTCTCAGAATAAAAATAATTTAATCACAAGAACAACCAAGCATGAATTTGGCATGTACTCTGGAAGGTTTCTTATAAACATTGGCTAGAGAAGAGTACTCTGAGGGAGCCTCCCAGCAGGGACCGTGGGAGCAAAAAAGTGGAGCATAATCAGCCTGTGAATGGAATGGCAGGATGTGCCTCTGACAGCAGCAAATGCAACTCTGCAGGAAACATAGGATCCAGGCTGATGATCTGTTCGGACGGTTTCCAGCACATCCAATCACTTATCACACAAATGCTGCAAGTCTGGTGAACTATAGAGCAGGCTGAACATAGAATAGATGATTGAGCAGCTGAAATCGCAGCGTGGCCCTGTTACAGAAAGTCATGTGTTTCCCTGGGATGTTTCATTACAAATACACTTGCACAGTCAGCAGGAGTGTGACAGTTTTCTGCTCTTTTGGCTCAGTGAGGCTTGCTGTCAGGTGTTTGTGTTAATCTTGCTAGAGATACAATGGCCTGCTTAAAGGAAAAGGTAAAAGTGAACAGTTTTAGAATAGGTGGATATTCAGTCTTAACACCTTAACTTTGGGAGGAGAAGGTAAACATAGTGAAAAGCTTTGGTGCTTGAAGTTCTAGATTACATGAGATACAGTCTGTGCAGGATGAATGGTGGTTAATTCAAGAATTGGGCCTCACCTTCCAGGTTGTTTACAGTCTGTGCCTATCATGTCCACATGTCCATGTTTCTGTGATGGGATAGATTTAACTCTGCACAGTGTGGATGAGAAAGCTTTATAGCTTAACGGCCTTGCTCATCTGTGCACAGCAACAGTTTTCTTGGAAGCAAAGATGTAGCTGTGAAGAAGAGAGCCCATTGCAAATGTCAGCACCTCCTCTGAGTTTCAGTTGCCTTCTCTTATGTAGATAGTACATGTACATTTAAAGAACTGAGAACTCTTCACCAAATGCTACTGTGCAAGTGAAGCCTCCCTGTTGGAGGGGGGAGAGAGTGACTTCAGGTAAAGCAAACAATTGTTAGATTACTTTGTTCCTCTCATAGTGATCAAACAATCTCATGGTATTTGGGAATCCCTGGTAGAGGTAAAGCTCAGATATGTACTGAACAAGCACCTGAACTTACTCTACTGCTCCTTTGCAGGTGGGTCTCAGCTGGAGGTAAAATTAGTGCTGCTTTGGAAGCATAACATGAGGATTGAGTATTTGGCTGTGACACCCTGGCCCCTGGACCCATCAAAGCGCAGCACATGGGTGGAAGTGACCATGGAGGGAAGCTATGACATTTTGCATGACATCAGTTGCACCATGAGGAAACCTATCACCAGTCTGTACCGCACTACAGTCATCCGGCGCTTCTGGAACACCTTGCAGAGGTGAGCTGGACTATCCCCAGCAGTTTCCAGTGTCCAGTGTAACTTAGTAATTTCTTCCTTGGCATGCTAGGACATGGTTATGCAGCTGGCCATCCCAACCGAGGGTCCAAAAGGAATGTGCTCTAAGGAAGGGGAATGACTGGCAACAAGCTTGCTGTGTAGCCAAGGAAAGGACTTGAACTAGCCTGTGACCTGGTTTGTAAAAATGCTTCATGGTGACCATATTGCTGCTCCCAAATCCTGATCCTGTGATGCAAACCTTACCTCTGACTGCCATCCCATGGAGGTCATGTGTTCTTACAGCACACCCTTGCAGCTGTGCTACATGGTCACACTGGGAGCAGCAAACACCTCATGTCTCTAGGGCTGAAGGTTATAGCCATTTCTGGCCAGGCTGACTGTTATTCCCTGCTATTTGGCAGATTCCTTTTCTAGCACTTTGTTTCCAGCTCTGATCATCCTCCTTATATATTTGACTGTTACACTGGAAGCCCTTAATATGCTCTTTGCAATCAGGCCTTGAATCCCAGCATTGCCTGATGTGCTGACAGAAGTACAATTTAATATGAACAACACAACAAAACAACACAAATGCAACAGTAAGTAACCTGACAGAGTCAGAAAATAACCTGACAGAGTCAGAAAGTAACCTGACACCCTGTCAGTCAGGGTGTAGTAGTAGTCTGATTAAATGGTGGCTGCAGTCCTCCTGGAGTGATGGGTTTGTTGGAGCAGTGATCCCGCAGATCCGGTTCTCTCCTGAAGGTCCAGCAGCAGCTCTTGTCCTCTGGGAATCCAGCAGGCAAAGGGCTCTCTGTGCTGGTCCAAACCCCAGTTATATCCCTGAGAGCATGTTTGGCTCCCCACCCCTGGGGTGAGTCACCTCACCACGGGCCAAGGCGATGAGGATCACTGGGAGGATGTGCCATACATGGGTCCTTGACAGCCTGTTAATCAGAGACAGCCCCCTGAGGGAGCCATCAGGATTGCCCTGAGGACAGGGTGATAACGATCAGTGCCCCACCTGCTTTAACAGCTTGTGGAGATGATAATAGAATACATACCCTGGATACCCCCCACACTGCAACCCAGGACACCTGAGAAAGCCCTGTTGGTGTAGGTGGCCTCCCAGAACATAGGGAGTTCTGTGTGTGCAGGCCCTGGGCTGACTGGGGCAGCAAGGAGGAGAACGTGGGCTTTTGTGGCTAACTGCCTCTTCTTTTTCAGCATCAACCAGACAGATCAGATGCTGGTTCATCTGCAGTCTTTTGATACAGTCCCAGAACACTTCACCATTCCTGAGAGCACCAAGAATGGGGTGCCCCTCTTCTACATCCCCCCAGGCTCCACCACTCCGGTATGTTCCCTCTCTCTACTGTTTCATGTGGGGCAGGTTTTTTCTGCCTATTCTGTCTTGTACCAGTGGACGCTGAGTCTCAAGAGGCAGTGAAGATCCTCTGTAACTCTCCAGCTTTATCTCTTGTGCTTTGTCCTGCTCAGTAAGAGAGTTCAGGTGCAATGCAGTGAACATCTCATACCATACATTTTCCGCTCTGAGACATCATCCTATGTCTTTGTTGCTACAACCCAACATCAAGTCTCCTAAGTGTGCTGTGAAGCCTTCTCTTGTAGTGATGTGATATGTGAGACTGATGGGGAGGCTGACATGCTTACTTTAGCTGTGCTTTTTCAGTGGATACCTCATATGTGTGGAGTGCTGCTGGCAGTCTTGTGCCCTGGTGATGTAGCTCAGTACTGTCAGGTGAAGGTACAGGATGTGCTGAATAGTGTTTAATAGGCTCATTGCTTTAAGCACTCATGTGGAAGGTGCAAGAAGGATACTTGTCATCTGCACAACAGAAACTAAACAAAACATGAGCTAATAGTTTCCACTGCAAAATTCAAACTCATTGAAGCTTACTGAGCCAGCATATTATCTGCTCCCTGCTGCCAGTGTCCTTGACATTGATGGAAGAGGACTAGCAGCTATTAAAGCTAGGGTAGCTTTAACTTAGGAGAACTATCCCTCTAATTTTATTGTTTAAGTCCTTCTTTAGGTTTGCCTAGTATGTTTTCCCTATGTAGGGTTTTGTATCCCACAGTATATCTGGAGCGTCCTGTCTTGTGGCTAACCACCACTGTATTTCTATGTCAGCAGAGTTGCTATAGTTGGTGAAATCACAGTGTTACCATACAAACATAGTAGAGTTGCCCAATGCCACCCATTCTGGCACCCTATTTGCATGAGCACTCTCAGATGAGTAATCCCAGTGTTTAATTGCTTTGCTGACACAAGCCATATATCCCCCTCTCAATCAGAGAGCACGCCATTACATATGCCATCTTTTTCATGGTTGATTTACTTGATGCTAAGTAGTTAAATTCCTAATTAACTTGGCATTTCAGGAACCCGGTTTATTTTTGCTTACATTGTACTGCCTGTTTCAATGTGAACACACTTACTCTGCTCAGAGGAAGTTACTCAAAGCCAGGAATGTGGCCTTCTATGCCTACACAGCTCAGCTGCTAGAGAAATTCCTGCTCTCTATGGGTGGAACGGGACACTTTCTGGCTGAATATTGTCCTGTCATTTTCTCAGGTGCTATCCCTGCAGCACAGTGGGTCTGACTCGAGCCATTCCCAGTTTGCCTCCTACTGGAAGCCTATCCTTTCCATGGATGCCAACTTCTGGCAGAGGTGGCTGCACATGCATCGTATAGTCATCCTTCTGGAGCATGACACGTATGTAATGAGCAGAACTGAGCTAATGTGTGCAGTATGGGTCAGCCTGGGAAAGCAGGGTGTCCAGTTCAGTCCAGTTGCAGAGTTGCAACCGTCTTGCAGGTGCCTATGGCCACCCAGGGAATGTGGCTCTCGCCAACAGGCACAGGTAGGGGAGGTGCTTGTGCATTGGCTGCTGTGGAGCTGCTGATATACCAGTCAGAAGATGAGTTGGAATGGATTTAGCAACATCTCTGTGGGTTTTGGGGGAAGAAGAGAAACCATGGTTCTGAAATGACTTTCTGCCCCACCCTGCAGGCCTGTGCCCAAGCACCTGCACACACCAGGCAATAATGGTCGCTACAGCACCATCCAGTGCCGCATCTCCCACTCGGCACTCACCTCCCTGCTCCGGGACTGGAGCAGCTTTGTGCTGGTCGAGGGCTACTCCTACGTCAAGCTGATACACGGGTGAGTGGCTCTGAAACAGTCCTGTGTGGGCAATCGGGCATGTGGCCAGACCAGAGATGTAGATAGACGGGTACATGGTGATGGGCCTGAAGCAGATGCCTAGAGGAGAAGATAAGAACAGACAAGTGGGTATGAAATCCTGTGATTTCTGAACTGCTGCTGCTCTGTTCTGGGCACAGCCCAGAGGGAGAGGGAAGCCAGCTGGGGTGTTTCTACATGCTGGAACTGCCATGTGTTGCTGCCAGGTTGTGTGGACTATTGAGCTCTGCGGACTTGGCCTGACACAACAGAGCAGCAAGATCCATGCTATTTCAGCCCTGTCTTAATCCCTCCTCTCTAGCTCTGAGGACCTTACACCTTCCTCATTTTATGTGGTACGGATCATCTCCAAAGCTCCCTGCATGGTTCTCCGGCTGGGGTTCCCCATTGGCACACCTGCACAGGCCAGGAACAAGGTGAGAGCTGGCTGCCTGCTTCGTGGGGTAGGAGCAGAGCAGGAAGTTCTGGATGTGAAAATAAAGGCTAGATCACAGGTGACACTGTGGGCAGGTGCCTTCTAATAAGTAACTACTATGTTAAAGCTTATGTGGGTGTGAATCTGTTGTAACAGAAGGGGTCAGTTTGGACAAACTTTCTGTGTTTAGTCTGTGGAAGACCTAAACCCAAGGACTCAAAGATAATAGAATAGTTGGTCACATGGATGTTTTTCCCACTGCTTAATTCAACCACGGGCTCGAAATGACTCAAAGGTTATCTGGTCTATCCTTGTGACCAAAGCACAATCAATACCATCTGTCAAGAATAGCAGATACTTGTCTGACTCATCTCTAAAGACCTCGGTGATGGATGTACTACATGTTCCCTGGGCTACCTGTTCCAGTATGTGGTGAATTGCTTATGTATATTGAATCTCTTGGACAGGAAGGACTTAAGAGTTAAAATGCAAACAGGGAGAGAAAACAATTAATACCCAGGAAATGTTTTCAGGAGATAAAATACTGCTAGACAGACCTAATAACCTTTTTGTATCAAAAGAAATGGGGCTGCCCTTCTCAGATGCAGAAGGTGGAGTTACTGTGTAGGCTGTTTCTCCAACACTAATGGCTAAGGCAAGCCGTGAGTGTTCCTAAGTAAAACATAAGTATATGAAAGATGTCCTGCTATTAAACTATGTGAACCTTTATAAATGAGGTTTATCATTGAATCTAGATATTTTATCTTCCTGAAAGAAGTCTTTGGTTTCTCTAACTTAGATTTAGTGTTAGAGATTAGTCTGAGGAGAAGCTGACAAACATAGGAAGGGCCATCTCTTTCTGAGATAATGAACCCAGATAACATTAAATGCTCTGACACTCTGGAGGATCTGCCCTTTTATGTCTTCATGGAATCCAGGGTTTGGGCACTGGTTGCTGGGCCAACATGTGGGCTGGTAATGCCAAGTGACAGCTTTTCTGAAGGAGTTCCCTCTGGCAGGTCAAAGTTAATACCTATTTTGTGAAGAAGGTGTGAGACAGGCACCATACCCTGCAGCTGTGGGCAAGCTCCAGATCATTGCAGCAGAGCTGTATGTAGATCACCATGTTTGGGTTTTTTCCCTGCCATGGGGCTGACTAACTACTCAGTGTGGAAGATGGGAGTAGAACTTAGCCCACTTTGTTTAAGGGAAAGGGAGTTTTATGCTGAGCTATTCAAGTTTCCAATGTTGAAGGGAAGGAAAAGCACTTGGTACAGTCTGACTTTTATAAAGCTTTTGGTGAGACTTCCTATAGGGCACAGCTGTAGAACTGGAGTAGGAATGGGGTGTTATAAGCCACAAACTGTCTTGGGGAACAAGGCAAGGAAGTTGAAAAAATGCTCTGTTCTCATCACAGCAGAGCTGTTTGTGGTTTTCCCAATGTTTAGGTGAAGGGTAGGGAACTCATGTGCAGAAAGGTATCAGGTAATGAGCTGGGAAAATGTGCAGGTGGCACAAAGCTATTTTAACTCATGTGCTTTAGAGACACATAAGCAGCACAATGGTGTCTGGACGCCAGTATTGATAGCTGGAAAATAGTGCACGTTGGATTTCGGAGCTTAAGCACCATCAGTGATTCTGTGATATCAACATAAAACCACAGAAGGGACCCAAGAGGCAACATAGTGCAGAATTAGTGCACTAATTAGTGTTGAGAAGGGAGATGGGAAGCTGCTGTTCTTCCATTTGCCTACAATGGTGATAGAAATTGAAACATGTTGAACAAATATCATGAAAAGAAACCTAACCATGCAAATTTCAAAGAAAACACTGGGGTATTGTAGGAATCAGGTGCTGGTGTGGGTAGAACTACATTCAGAGCTGCTAAAAGCTAAAAAGAGTAATCAGGAAGTCAGTGTGAAAGTGTCTTGGAAAAAATTAACCTAAAAAATAACCTAAGCTCCTGAAACCTTTTACCATAAAGGTTTGAAACATGAACATGATAGTAGTGGAATACATAAGACAGAGCCAGACTGTTCCCACAGCTGATATGGACTAGTTTACATTTACTGTAGGCTGTTGAGGAAAGGAGGAGGGAAGAATGAGGGTGGGTGCTCAGACTGCTGCTGTGGAGGAGCTGGCATCCAGTTAATTTGGTTTTCATCTGAGTTTTGGAAGGTGATTTCTTCAACCTTGAACTTGTCTTTGGGATTTTTTTTTACTTATCTTTTGCTTTTAAAAATATTTGTAATTGTTAAAATGTGGACCAAAGAGCCTTGTGTCATCTTGATCTTGGTCTTGCTAGTGCCTCAGAAGTAAAATGACCTTTAACTCCTGCTCTTCTGTATATTCAAGGAGTGTTCTATTCCTTTTACTTATGCTCTTGTTCTAGAAGCTTGTTTTGAGTAGCTTATGTCTCCGGACACAGGTGGTCATGTTTACCTTTTGTTTTTGCCATGACAGATAGTGGAGGAGTTACGGGACCGCATCTTGCAGCTGCGCTTTCCCCACAGGGTCCAGAGCAAGGAGGCAACTCCAAAAGCAAAGAGGAAAATGTTTGGCAGTAGTTCTCCCTCCAAGTCTCCACCTGTGGCTGGGGCCCAGTCAGCCCTCTCAGACAGACCTTGCCTTGTTGTGCTGCACAAACCATTGGAGAAGCTGCTCATCAGGTAGTTATGGGAGATCCAGGCCATCAGCACAGCCTTCTTGCCCTGGGAAGTGGGAAGGAAGAGGATCTGTGGATGGTGCTGCCAGTTGCAGCTGCAAAGCTAGTGCTTCTTGGGGTGGGTTTGGGTTGCGTGGCTGTGACTTGCAGCACAGGTTTTTGCTGGACAGGCGGATCTGTTACTCCACATTAAATACGATGTAGAAGTAAATTCAGTTATTTTGCTATCGAGTTATTGCTGTCCTGGGCCAGCCGTGTTCTGCTGCTGGAGGACTCTGTCCTGGGCCCAGTGAGTGGGCTGTGAATCCAGACAGCTCTGGCCCTGAGCAGAAAAAACCTACATTTTTTCCACCTCAGCACACCACACTTCTGCCCTCTCTTAGGTATGAGAAGCTGCCTTCTGACTATCGAGCCCCCTTTATTCTCAACCTGGAGCACCCCCCGGTGTCTGGTCCACTCACTATGGTGGCCAATCGTACTGCCTCGTCCACCCTGGCCTCGCTGTCCCGCTACTTCTATCACCAGCGTTGGATCTGGAGTGTTCAGTCGGGGCTGGCACCAGCTGTGCCTATCACTGCTGTAGCCCAGCTCCTGTCCACACTCACAGAGTAAGTTGCACACCTGGACAGGGGTGTTTTCTCCAGCTTGTCCTCAGGATGCAGAGAAAGCAGAGGGGGATCTGAGGCCTTATTATAGGCAATAGTTGAAGCTGCTGTGCAGAGGGTTTTAGTCCTGTACATAGCTTCTATAGCCACTTGGGTCAGTGCTTTACCCGGTTCTGCAGCTGCAGTTGAGGAAAACTAGAGTACAGGAAAACATACAGAAGGGCAAGAGGCATTACTGTGCCTGGAGTTCCCTGATCTTCACACAGGCTGTCCTGTGCGGTGTCACATCTCCCCATTCTCTGTATGTATCTCCTGTCTTGGCAAGAAGGGTGTTATGGGGTGAAGGGTGCAGTCATTTTTGGAGTTAAGGCTTGCAGTATGGGTGGAAGGCATGGTCTGACTGCTTCTCTGTTGCAAGGGTTCGTCTGTCAGAGGGTTTCCACTTTGCATCCAGTGGGGATGGAATTATCAACATGGTGCTGGAGCTGCCCATACAGGTGAGCCTGGGTACTGCACTGTGGACAGAGTCCTTCATTGCTGCTTCTGGGGTGGATTTGCCTTCCTGTGACAGGATTTATCATCCGCTTCTAGCACACACCTTTGACATATAGAGAGAAAGTAAAGCAGCTTGTGGGTTGGGCACTTTCTTCATTGGTCATTTCATTTCTTCTTGGGTACTGTCTTCAGAGAGATGCTTAGCAAGTAGGGATGTGCTGTGCTGGAAGAATTCTGGGGGCTGGGACAGGCTCCCTCTCTCCTGTCTAGGTGATGGGGTTGTTGTGTAAGGAGGTACTGGGTAGGTGAGATCTGTTGCTGCTGTCCAGGTTCATGCAGTGTCTCCCCTCCAGATCGACAGCTCAAGCGAGAGCAGCAGTGACAGGGAGAAGCACACCTGTGTCGTCCAATACATCCTCTTCCCGCCCCACTCCACCTCCACCAAAGACAGGTGAGGCTGTTGCCCTCCTCCAGGGAGGATTGGCAGTCGAGTCACAGCTCCAGACTTGCCTTTTGCAGTCAGTGTGGAAAGGAGGGGAGACCTCCATCATCTAGTAGAAATAACTAGTTGTCACGGATTCATCATAGTTAGCTGGGGCTTTGCCTGCAAACCTTGGGTTTGTGTGGCTGCTCTCACAGCTCTGAGAAGAGCTGCAGTGGGCTGCTGGCTCTGTGCCATCTGACAGGACTTGCCTTTTGTCTTTCCTCCAGCTTTTCCACAGATGATGACAATGATACAGAGGTAGAGGCCATTGAGGTGGACACAGAACTGAACCTGGTCACTGAGTGCTGGGTAGAGCCACAGAGTGGCCATGTCCACAGTACTGCTGAGAACTGGAAGCACCTCCATGGCTTGCCCTATCAGAAAATCCCTAAAGCAGTGAGTCCCTGAAAGGGAAGGGGCATGGGCTCTTTTGTGGGCAGAGAAAGGTTTATTGTAAGAGCACCATAACACTGCAGGTGAATATTGAGGGCCAGAAGAGCTGGGAATGCTGCTCACAAAAAGACCTGAGATTTCTCAAAGAGGAACTGGCCATTAAACGTAAAAGGTTTCTGGAAGAAAGGCAGTGCATGTAATGCTGCTTTGGGGTAGCTGGGAAAATACAAATTATTTTGATAAGAGCCATTCCACTGGAGGGGAGCAAGTCTGATTGGGGAACAATCCCCAACCAGAGCAGGGATTGCAAACAGGACTGTTAACACTCTTCCTGAACAAGGTGAAAACAATCTAAAGGACTGGTGAAGAAGGAGGGAGCAGTGAGTGAGAATAGGGCAAGTAAGGGGACAGGATTATAGGTGTTTCCTCTCCTTGCTTTTAGACTGTTTTGTCCTGCATTTGGGGGTAATAATTCTGCTGCATACAGCTGACACTTGACTGCTTATTGCAGCTCTATCCCCGGGATCTTGCGTGCATTGCCACCATGCTGACCTTTGAGTACATCAGCCAGTTGTGCCAGAACAAGGAGTGGGTCTGCCCTCCTTCAGACACCAAAGTTGCTGAAGGTGAGTCCAGCATCTATGTCCCAGCAAGTCTGATGGAGCCAAGAGGCAGCTAGGCCCTGAATATCTAGGGGCCTATAGAGGTTGCTGGAAGGTGGAGCAGGTATTTTGACAATTTGTAGACTTTGGTGGCTGGTGGTCACTTTGTTGCACTTGTGCTAAACTGTCGGAGAAATGTCTTGGAAGACCCAGAAAGCATTGAGGCTTTCTACCTAGGCTGAAGAGGTGATGAGGTGACTCTGATTGAGCAGAGGGGTTGGTCCAGATGACCTGCAATGGTCCTCTCCAGCCTCAGCCATTCTGTATTTCTGTGAGGGGGCTGACTTGTAGCGCAGGTGGAAGATGAGCTCTCATCTTCAGTGATGGGCAGGGTATGCCTGGGCAAGTGGTAGTACAGAAATTGTAAATTATGTTCTCTGTTACAGGTCAGTTTCCAGAGCAGTTTGTGGAGTGTTTGCTTTCTGGTGGTCCTGTTCATCTCTGGACCCTTTGAATGCTCCATTAGCCCACAAAGATATGGAAGGCGACCTTAGGATGTCTGGTCTGTTCTCTTCCTTCAGGATAGGATTGTGTATTTGTCCTGACATGATTAATGTCGTTCACCAAGAACTAGGTGGGGGGTTTGCCCTTGTCAGGCAGTCTGTTCCAGAACTTCACTGGTTTTGCTTTTTTCAGTGGTTCGCTCCATCCTAGATCTTTTTGTTTGCTTCAAAGATATGGAAGGCGACCTTAGGATGTCTGGTCTGTTCTCTTCCTTCAGGATAGGATTGTGTATTTGTCCTGACATGATTAATGTCGTTCACCAAGAACTAGGTGGGGGGTTTGCCCTTGTCAGGCAGTCTGTTCCAGAACTTCACTGGTTTTGCTTTTTTCAGTGGTTCGCTCCATCCTAGATCTTTTTGTTTGCTTGCAGATTTTTTTTCAGGAATTGTGTGGGTTTGAGGAAGCCAGGATCATCCCAAAGGCTGAGGCCAAGACCTGAGGGAATCGTATTGGATCACATCATTAGTCCCATGGGAGGGGGAGGCCGAGGCAAGCTCAGGGCTTGGAGGGCAAAGGCTACTTCCTGAGGAATAGGATAGGAAATGCCCACAGGGCTGTGTAGAGCCTGCCAAATGGGAGATCTCTCCCAAGAGCAGGGGTGTTCTTGTCCCTGACTAAAGTGACAATTCAGGCTGCCTCTGGCTCCCAGCATGGTCACTGCTCTCCATCAATGTTACCTGCAGCACTAATGTCCAGTTTCGGTCCCTTGGCAGCTCTGGGCCCGAGCTGTCTAAGGCCTCATTGTGGCTTCCCATCTCTCCTTGTATAAAGGTGGCAGTAAGCCCAAGGGACTCTTAGAGCAAGATACCTCTCTGTAGGTAGCTCACAACCTGCTGCAGCCTCTGGCACAGGCTTTGCCCTTTCTCCACCTTCATTCTTTGTATCCCTCTGCCCTCCTAAGAGGGGGAATTGGGGCACTGCTGCTGTGTACCTTCACTTGTGCTACCTGCACTCCATTTAGGATTGACGCCATGCGTGCGGTGGTGGCCTGGGAGTCAGGGATATGTGATGTCCACAGGCATATTATATTCCTAGCTCTTGTTGCAGATCCAGACATGGGGGCTGGTTTTCGAGTGCATGAGATCCCATTCCAGTTCAACCTCATGAAGCTCTTGCCCAGGTGCCAGCAGGTTGAAATGTTCTTCCTAATGCTGACAAAAGGTAGGTGCCTCTTGACTACCTGCCTCCCCTTGTCCTCCCTCCGTGGCTGTGGGCACCCTGCCCTGTGTGCTTATCTCACTGGGCAGCAGCGTGTGGGCACTGCCATACCTCTTGCAGTAGCTCAGTGCCATTCTTCCTGACTCTGCAGCCCCAGGGCTGGCCAGCTGTATTGCTGTCTTTCTTGGGATGATAATTTGGAAGAGTTGCTTTTGAAAACGTTAAACCTAGACAGTTGCTCTGTGGTGGTGGTTTCTTGTCTGTACCATCCAGAACAGTTACAGGAGCAGGATGAGTCAGTGCAGGGTGACTAATGATGCCAAAACTCCAGGGCTTCCTCAACACCCTCCAAGTCAGCCTTGCAGAGGTGCTGGGGGAAATCCCTGGCTCTGTGCAAGTGTTGCTTTGCAAATGACTGTCTCCTGGGGTCCTGGGCAGGTGGCAGCTGTGGAGATGCTGTCTCTGAAGCTGCCGTGGTTCTGTTTTGAAGCAGAGAATGAGGAGGTGACCAAGGACTCTTCATTTGTGCCCAACGAAATGCTACTAAACCTCTTCCATGGCTGCCTACAGCATGACCTCAGTGACCGGGAGATCCCCATGGCTGATGCTGATCATGTGGCTTTCATGGAGCAGGTTCTGCAAAGGGATCGTGATGGCCATCAACCCCCTTTCACACTCCCTGTGATCAGAGGTGAGGACCAGGAGCGTGGCAGCAGTGACACCAGAAGCTGTGAGGTGTTTAGCAGTCTTGCTTTCAAGTCTCATCCTCAGCTGGTGTTTCTCAGGTTGGTTTTTCTGTGATCCATTTCAGAAGAAACCCTGAAAGCCTCTGGGACCCTGGAGCAGCAGGATACTTCTGCATCCTATCATCTTGTTGGCAGCAATGGCACGAGGGATATGACTGGCTCCACAAGTACTCTGCAGGTACTGCTATGCTGTCCTTCTCCTGAGTCCCCTTGGAATGTAAGGGGGCAGCTGTTGAGGAGCACCAGGGTTGGAACAGTTGTAAACATTGAAAGGTGGCTAATTTTCCCCACACTTGGCAGCAGTTTAAGCTGTAGCCTGTGGCAGAAGTCAGACAGGAGTGTGGAAAGTGTGTGGATAGGTGTACTCACCATGGGCCTAGCCTGTTACAACATCAGTGATGTGTTACACATTGCTCAGAAACCATGAGCCGTCATTGCCTGGAGGTCAGAACCAGCCTCGGCAAAGCTGACTAAGCATCTCCTGACTGGATGTGCTGTGTTTCTTGCAACCAAGCTGCTCTGAGGATGGTGCAGGGGTGTCCAGTGTGATTTCAGCACGGTGCCAACCAGCAGTAATGGAGGAATTTGCTCCGTGTGGTTGCTACCTGCCTCAAGGTAGGCCTGTGCTGTGTGCTATGAGTTTATCCAACTTCTGCTCTTCCATCAGAGCCTTGGCAACACAGAGCTGCCCGAGGATGACGTGACCCTGAGTGACACAACGGGGCCCTTTCCCCCTCAGTGGCGATGTTACGCCAAGCTGGTCAACCCGCAGCATGTGTTCCTGACCTTCCTGCCAGCCACCTTCTCAGGTGAGGTGGCCTGTTTTGGGGAGTGAGAGGAGGCAGCAGTCCCAAGTGCCTCCTCAAGAAAACAGCAAAAAAAGAATCGGTCCTTGTAGGGTGGAGAGAAAATTGAACAGCAAAATTCAGACCCAATCTTTTTGCACCATAGGGCCAGGAATAGAGTAGTGCCAAGTGCTAAATGTCCTGCTCTTCTCTCCTTGGACATGGTGCTGCCCACATAGGGTTTTCAGGCAGGGTATGTGGCATTGTTTGCTGGCTGCAGCTATTGAACTGTTTTCCCAGTAGGATTGTTAATGAATGGGGTAAGGAGAGACTGCTAATGGGATGGTCTGGGGGAGTGCCTGCTTCTGGGCGTTGGCACTGACTGGTCTGGCTTCCACTGAGCTGCTGGTGAAGGCTGCTAGGATCAGGTGGAAGTACACTGTGAAGCTGCTTCTATGCGCAGAGGTGGCAGGAACATCTGCTCCCTTGGGAATATAGATTGAGAGGTTAAGCTGTTCTCAGTGGATAGAGGGTGATTTTACTTTGTTTCCTTCCAGATGTACAGAAGCTAATGGCTTGTGGGTTGGACAAACCTCCAAAAGATGAGAGTCGATCTGGAGAGGATACTCTGGGACGTGTCTCTGCAGAGCAAGTCAGGGCTGAAGAAGGGGATGCTGCAGTGCCATTACCTACCCTCAGCATAACACCAGCCCATGGTACCAACAGCACCTTGCTAAAGTATTAGTATCATTAACATTCCTGAACATGGTGTTGGGCAGATTGAGGTAGAGAGAATAAGAGGCTGCAGCCCAGCAGTCAGCAGAGTCGGGACAAGGGGTACAGCAATGTTCATGGAGGGATGAGGGACTGTACTGTGAGTTGACTGCCCATGGCCCAAGGTTGGCTCCCTGTGGGCAAGGAGGATGCAAGTAGATAGAAGCTACTAGGAATGGTAGTACTGAACTGCACTGAAAAGTCTTATGTCACTATCCAGACTCACTCTGTCAGCAGCACATTGTCTTAGGGAGAAGGATACAGGTCTTGAGGTACATGGGATTTGATTGCACAGCCCCTGATGCAAGTCAGCCAGGTCTGCAGTGGGAATGGAGGGTTGTGCTGCTGCAGGCAGTAGTAGTGGTGGTGGTGATGAAGAGTCACAGCTGCGAAGAAGGGGATCAGGGTGGCCAAAGCACTAGGCTGAGTGGTTAGGTGCCAGGTCAGGAGAATGGCCCCTGATGTTTGAGTGGTGAGAAGCTTGTAAAACCAATACCTACCTGTGGATGCTTCTGTGACGGCTTTGACCTCTGACCAGGAGCAAGGAGCCCACCAAAGGTTTTATCTCAGGATTGTTTCTTTTGCAGAAGTGAGCCGTGACCCTGGAGAACAGAGTGGCCCCTCGCGGAGAGATGTGCACATCTCCTTCTGTCGCCAGAACTCACAATCTGAACTAGGCGAGTGCCGCCGATTTCGCTGCCCCATTTACATCTACAGCTGCTCTTTGGAGATGTTACGAGAGCAGCTGGTCAGCCCACGGGCACACCGTCCTCCTCGGGACATCTTTTTCAGGTAATACCAACTATACTCGATTCCTAGCCAGGAAACAGAGGAGCTTCCTTGACATGAGGCTGGCTCTATCCCTGCCTTGTTCTCAGTTTAGCCTCTCTGCCTTATGGCAGCCACTGCCTGTGCATGCCCTAAGGCCCTGGTTTGCTGACACCAGAACCATTTATAGTCTAAAACATGCTTTATTGGTGCTGAAGGCTGCAGTTCCTCTTTTCCAGGTCCCAGTCTCTGGAACGTCCTCCAACTGCTGCTTGGCTAGACCACAAGCATAAGGAGTTGGTGAGTTACTGCACGCTGCTGCAGGAGCACTCCCACCAGTGCTATGTGAAAGGTGAGCAGTGGCACAATGGGACCTGAGGCAGGGTTGGGGTTGGGGCTGGACCCTGGATCTTCTTTTAAGAAACCAATGTCTCATTTTCCTTGTGAACTTACACCAGGCAAAGGGAAGAGCCGTGGACCTGATGTCCCACCAGAAGGGATTTAAAGATGCCTCTGCGCATTCCCTATGGGCCTTGCAGAGGCTGTTCCCAAACCTGTGTGGGTGCTTTAAAGGGTGATCCCTTCTTTGATACTTTCCTCTCGCGTTCATGGAGACAGAGTCCATGGGCACTCTGGCATCACCCAAGCCCAGGCTAACATGTAGCACTAGGTGCCCTGGCTGACTCCTGTCTACCAGCACCTGCACTGCCTCCAGCTCTGTGCTGGGACTTGATGAATATCCATCCATGGCTATTACCTGACACCCATGGCCTCACATCTTCGCAGTGGGACGCTCAAGCACTGTGTTTGATCTGTAGGGCTGTTCAAGAGCCTTCAGCAGTCACACAGCATCAGCTCCCAGGACCTACTTACTGCCATGGACTACTGTGAGGAGCTGCTCCAAGAGATTGATATCACCAACTTTCTGCTGACGGTGTGCAGCCATGTCCGCTCATTCCGAGAGAGCCACCAACATTTCCATACGCACTCCAAGACAGCCAGCTTCCACGTGGGCAGCATAGAGCAAGAAGAGGAACAGAGCTCTAGGGAACGAGGTGTCTTGGTCTCTGAATCAAGGTAGGGGCCCACCTTGGTCTTTCTTCTCTTCTTAGTAGTGGGCCAGGGCAGATCTTTCTTCAAGCATCTTCTACTGCCTGCTAGAAGGAGTGTTGTAGGGTCTAACAAAGCCACATGGGAGAGCAGGTATTTCCAGAGAGATATTCACCTGGTATGGTGTCCACAAGGACCTTCTATTTTTTATAATCTCTGGTGGCATCTATCCTTTCTGTTGTAGTCTTGGCTCATTACTGTCCCATCTGGCCTGAGCTGGATGGCAGTTTGTCTGCAAGTAACTCTCAGACTTGTTTCTGGAGAAATTATGCATCTCCTGCTGCTTGACTCATTTGAGTTTGCTGTTGACTCTGGTGAAAATGACAGCTTTGTTATTTTTTTCTAATGGATAAAATGTCACTTTTTTTAATTAAAACTCTGCAAAAATTGCACAAGAGAAATACCAAGGCAGAATTGAAATATGCTTGATGATAAACTTCTGTCCCTCTATTCCTTAGGGTATTTTATGAGGTTTGTATTGCCTCTGGAAACCTAAGGAGGGGAAAAAGTGCTATGCCTTAGTGTCTGTCGAAGAAAAACATAGCTCCTTTGTCCTTCTCACAGTTCCTTTATGTGAATTCACTAGCATTTGTTGAGAATACTCAGTCCTATTTCTTTTTATACTGTAAATCGCTGAGATGAAACTGTGGTTTTGAAGAACACTCAGTATTTGAAAAGTCAGATGACTTCTTCAAGTGCTGCTTTTCCCAAGAAAAACTGTGGGAACTTTTTTGAATTTTAAGATACTATGACCAATGCAGGTTTCATAAACTTTGCTGAAGGACATACAGTTTGTGACACATTGCACCCAGGTCTGCCATCTGTATCACCAATTTGAGTACCTGAGATGTGCTTTGGCCAGTTGACATTCCTCTCTCCAGATGGTTTTATCTTTGTTTTAGTGACTGATTCTGCGAAGGTGCTTCTGAGTGAGCATGGGCCTGAGCTTTGTGCTCCTCTCTGTGCTACCAAGACACTGAGGTGCTGGCATGGTGGTACTTGCTGTGAGGTGCCCTGGACTGGGTGCTGGTAGTTCAGATTGCTGCAGGCCTGTCCCTGTACTCAGCCACATGTCTCTATTTCCCACGGAGGGTGTGTAGTGTGGTGTATAGTATGTGGCAATGGGATCAGCATGATTAAACTACCTCAGGCCTGGCTTCAGACAGCCTGAGCACTTATCTGGGTGTGTGGGTGGTAGGAAGGTTTCTGGGGCTGTAGGGGTGGGGGTGGTAAGTCACATCATGTTAACACAGATGAGGTTTGGGGAACTGAGGTGGGATGCTTGCAGGATAGATAATACATACAACTAGGCTTGTTTCTTGATTTGCCTGTCTGACGTGTCCACAATCCTGTCAGTGCGGAAATGGAGGACTACAGTGAGCAGGACTCCCACACCATTGCTAGCCCCACAGAGGAGCCAAAAAGCAGTATGGGCACCAGCTGCTGTTCAGAGTTTCCCCTCTCGCTGCTGGAAATTGGACAGCCCTGCCAGGCACACCCAGACTTGCATAAAATTATCCAGGTGAGGAATGTGCGAACTTGACCTGGCTCCAAACAGGAATAGAATGTCTGCTTCATATCTGGGATTTCTCTTTTAGGAAAAATTCCTGGAAATTGGAAGTTTACATTTCAAGCCGGTGCCATCAAATCCTCATTATTTCTTCTATTGCCCACCATCAGCCAAGAAAGAGGTAGGCATGGTGCTGCCCTGGCAGGCACCTAGTCCTTCTGGAGTAACTTTGCTCGATGTCACATATGGATTTGGGGCTGGCAGACCCCTGGGTAGACTAAGTACCCTGGGGGCCCATTAACAGCCTGCTTCACTGCCTAGAATGGTTCTAGTATCTGCCCTTCCTCTCTTCATCTCAGGAAGAGGCATCTCGGGATCAGGCAGACAGGAAAGGCAGTGAGGACATGGAGGGATCAGAGGCAGAACTGGCAGCTGAAGAAGGTAAAATTTGCTTGCTCTGTCTGGAGAAGAATATGTCTGTAGTCTCACTGTGGTGATGCCTTCCAGGGCTAGGCTGTATCTGCTGGAGTCTCTGGAGATGTGGGCCTGGTTTGATAACAAGGAACCTGTATCAACAGGAACTGTGTCTGGATGCTGCATTGCCACAGAGAGTGACCCAGAGCTGGAGGTGGAGTACCGTGAGAAGCTGGAGCATGAGTTCCCAGACACAGATTCCCTCTCAGACTCCAACACAGTGAACCAGGATGATGACTCCTTCAGTGTGCTGGGAGGGGACTCACTCAATGAGCAGGAGTTCCTGGAGCAGGAGATGCCTCCGCTCTTTGTGCACCTTACCTGCTCAGTGAAGCTGCGTAGCCAGCACAGCTCCATGCCCGTGCAGTCCCTGCCAACTTGTCTAGGTAAGAGCAATCCTTGCTGTGAAGTTAAAGGGCAGTAGAACTTCTGTCAGGTCCCTGCTGGGTAAGCAGTCCCTGGAATAAGCATGCTGTGTCCTAATCAGCGGTAACTCTGGACCAACACTCCCTGTATGGAGCCTCCAGGGTCTGCCAGCATCAGACAAGGGCTTTTCCGCTAGGTCTCTCACTTGCTGTGGGATTGGTCATGGAAGGTTGAAAGGATCCAGGAAGGTGGAGACCTTCTTGAGCTTGTCCAGATGTGTGGGCCAGCCACCTCTTGCAGTCTCTGTACTTGCCACCAGGCTGTGTATGTGTGTAAGCCGTGATGTTTGTTGCTTGAGTCCCTTGGTATGTGATCTCTTTTCAGGGGAAGTTCTGGGCTGCCTGGAAAGCTGTCAGGGCTTGAATACCATTGACTTGGGGGACCTCTGTGTGACCCTGGACATCTTTGTGCTGACACTGCCTCTGGAGATAGAAGTTGTGAACACAGACATTCTCCACAACAGGTAGGTGGAAAGAAGCCCAATTACTCACCCACCCACTCTCTGCCTGCCCTTCCCAGAGAACCGTTCTTGCCTCATCTCCACTCATGATTCTCCTTCTCACAGAGCCTGCCACAGCCTTTAGAAAACTAAAATTTTTCCAGGACAGGCTCACCTTCTGTAGAGATCCCTTTTCCCCTCTCTGGAGCCTGTTTATATGTCGCCACGTCTGTTTATCCTCTCTGGCTCAAAAGCTGGTGCTCAGCCTGCTCTGTCTCCTGTAACAGATGCACCTCAGAGAGCAGTGTGTCCTTCACACGCTCTCCAGGACAACCATCCTCTTTCCGCTCAGATGAGGATATCATGCACAACTTGGAACGTCTCCCGTCTACAGGAGATGAGAGGTATGGCACTGCAGGTGTAGCAAGCCCCTCACAGGTTCTTTTTGCTGGCTGGGAGCTGTGCTATGGTGGCTGCATGAATGAGAATGACTGGTTGATTCCTTGTCTCATCTCTCCTAGGCACCCTGCCCTTTCCAACCTTCCTGGTGTGCACAGACAGGCTGTTGAAGCCACTATGAATGAGGTAAGCCAGACTTGCCTCTTTCTTGCTTCCAGCTGGAGCAGTGTGGCCACAGCACACAGCTGTTGTTCCACACTTCCTAGCCTGCTCCAAGCTGCAACCTCTGTCAGCTGAAGTAGTAGTCCTTACTAGTGTCACACAGGCCATTGGCCTTGTGCTCCCCAAAAGTGTGGGATACCTCTGGCAAAATTCTTACAGCAGTTGGGGTGGAACATGCAGAGCTCTCTTCAAAAGGCCATTTCTTAGGTACATTTCAGGAGATGTGGGATGTGGGTGATGAGTGAGTCTGCCTTCATCCTGTCGGGGCTTGGATGAGAATTGGGGCAGCCTTGCAAATGCAGGTCACCTAGGTCTTCCTGTGTGTCCTTGCTCTGCTCAGATTCGCTGGCTCCTGGATGATGAGATTGTGTCAGCGCTGCGGCACTCACAGGTCATCAGCACCTCCATCCTGCACCGGGTGGCCACCCACATCTATAACTCCAAGGGCCGGCCCAGCTGCCACAGCGAGGTGGTGCTACTGCAGTTTGTCTTTGGGCCTGAGCACTCTCTAGAGAAGTTCAAGGAGGTAAAGAGATAGCCCTGAGGCAGTGCCATACACTTCACCAGCAGGATGCTTATTCTTCCCTGTATTGCAGGAGTTCAGAAGAATGGCTCTGCCAGGCTACATGCTTAACGCAGAAGGCAACGACTACCACTACATCTCCATCAGCCGCCTGCACTCCAGGCGGGCAGCTCCAGACCCTTCGGGGACACCCTGCTTGCAGCAGCCAGCTGGAGGGGGCACCAGGACAGCCCTGGGCCAGGCAGGCCAGGAGGGGAGCAGTGAAACAGAGGCAGAGGGCTCTGAGCTGTTACACCATACAGGCTGTGTTCTCCCAGAAGAAGCCCAGGGTCTTTGGGAGTGGCCAGAGAGTGAGACATGCATTGTGCCAGACACAGGAAACCCTGCAGGTGGAGTCAGCCACACACAAGATGAGGTGAGCAGCACCAAGTGGTCTGTAGGTGGGAAGGTGTGGGACACTGGTAACAGAAGGTAGAAGGATGCAGGAGGGTGATGGGACATTCTGCAGTGTCTGTTTTTCTGGTCATTTTTATGACCTTGGCTTTATGCAGGTTCCAGGAGATGTGCTGAGACTTGAACAAAGCAAAGCACCAGGCCATGACTCGCTGGAGGAGGCAGCTCCAGAGACAACTGTACAGTCATTGCCATCCTCATCCTCTGAAAAGGGCAACAGTGAGAAATCACCATTGGTGACACCATCTGCAGCAAGCCTGACTGACTCTGTAACACAGGGCAGGGAAGGTAGGAGCTGCAAGTGTGGGCAGGATGTACCTCAGCCTCAGAAACTTTAAAGGGAAGAGCCTAGTTCTGGCTGTAGCATAGATAACGTGACTGCTACTCCTGCTCCAGTCCCTGATCACCAGAATTGGTACCCAGGACCATTGGTCTCTTCCTTGCCAGAGTGCTGGCAATTCACTGCTTAACAGTGATAACCCAGGGTACTAGGTTGTGCTGCTGCACTGGTATCCCTAATGACATGCAGTTCCTGGTTACTCCAGTAATGGGTGTGAGAGCCCAATTCCCTAGCACTGCCTCTCCATGGCTGGCACTGCCTGATTGTCCTGTGGTGTGATGTTTCTCCACCACATGGGCCATGTGAAGTGGCTTAGCAAGTCCTTTCATGATCAAACCCCTCTTCTCTTTGCAGGCTCCAGCAAGCAGCGTCCCAGCCGTGTGCAGAGCCTTGTGTCAAGCCAGGGGAGCATGGACTCTGACCATCTGGGTGAGTGTGCTGGGGCAGGACTGACTGACAGCTGCAAACACTGGCAGTGACACAGTAGTGCAGGGGTGTGGGGGACTGTGTGCCTGAGCTGGGGTAAGCCTTGAGGACAGGGCTTGTGAGTGACTGCCGTGCCCAGGGGGCAGGCTGGCTTGCCAGGCCTGGGACTGAAGTGGGGATACGTTACAGGTTACGATGGGGGAAGCAGTGACTCGGAGTATGAGGAGGCATTAATGAGCGACCAGGAGCCCAGGTGTCCCCTTATGCCAGATTTCTGGCTCATCATAAAAATCCATCAGGACCGAGTGGAGGTGTATTACCACACACGGTAAGGAGGATCTCCTGTCTGACCACTGCCTCTCTGTACCACAACCTTGTTGCCAGTCACTCATCTCTGGAAAGGATCTCTTTCCTGCCCAGTGTGGGTGGGAAGATGCAGGACTAGACTGGTGCTCTGTAAGGGGAAAACTACCGTCCTTTCCCACTGTGTTCCTGCTCCCAGCACACAGGGACAAGCACTGTCCAGGTGCCCTGCTGACCCCATTCTCCCCTTCCCTGTAAAGCAGCCTGAGTGTGGAGAAGGCAGCATCAGCAGAGACAGAAGAGGAGCAGCCAGGGGAGTGCCAGAGTCTCAACCAGGTGGTGGTGAAGAAGATCAGTGAAATCTGCAGGGTTGTCAATCAGGTAACAAATCTGCAGAGGGCACAAACAGAGCTACCAGTCATGAGATATCTTAGACAAGAAGGGACTTCTGGAGGTCCTCTGGTCTGGGCCCAGCTCAGAGGAGAGCCTGGGGAGCCAGTTCAGCTGGTGAAGTCCCAGCTTGGAAGTCAAAGGAGAAGGGACTCAGTCTGGCCCTAAGCCTTTCTTGCTGTCTTCTGTGGCTGTGCAAGCAGCAGAAACAATCTTTCCTCATCCTTTGCAGCGCTTGCTGCTGCAGGACCTGCATGACAGCCACATATGCAACTCATTACTGGTGGCAGAAAGTGAGGAGGACATCTGGAAGAGTGAAACGCCCTATACTTCATACAGGCAGCGCGTCATGCCCACAGATGGTATGAATATTCCCTTGGCCATGCCTCAGCAGCAGTGCTGCTGCCTGCCCATGAGTGGCTAAGAAGATGTCAACTACCATACTATGGCTGCAGCCATGTCCTATGTTCTTTATAGATTACTCTGTAGAGGAGAGCTACCAACCTCGGGACTACCTGGCTGCCACCATGCAGTTCATGCCAGGGCACTTTGCTTGTGACGTTGTGTGGAGCACACTCATCCACGTGCATTCACGCCTCAAGATGGGCCCCAACATGGGAGTCTCACGAGGTGCGTACAGCCCAGGTTCCCTCTGGTTTTGTGTGTCAAGAGTCTGGCTTCTGGCTGGATTGGTATGTGGGATAACTAACATCCCACGTTGCCCACAGCTATCCAGGCGCTTCGCTCAGTGCTCAACGCCTTCTCTGTGGTGAACAGGAAGAATATGTTTGTCTACCAAGAACGTGCCACTAAATCTGTTTTCTACCTCCGGTAAGAAGCCCACACGACTTGTTGGCCTGGCCCTGTCCTGCTACATACGTTACACCAAACTGAGAGCTGCTTGGGGCAGAAAGTGTCTGCCCAGCCTCAGGGAACATGTTGTGACCCAAGCAGCAAATAGCTGATTTCTGATGAGTCAGAGTCACATCAAGACAGGCCCTTCTTGCTCTCCCTGTGCTAAGCCTTTACATGGGAGGAAAAAGGATGGGTTTTTTGAGGGAGCCAGAGAGCAGTTTTTCCTCAAGCTCCATGTTCTGTGGGCTAGTCCCCAGAAAGTGCACAGGGGAGAGCAAGGAAGATGTGGATCTTCTGTGGATGTATGATGCTGTCATCCTGGGGAATGGAGGATGACATATCTTTCTCCTGTATTCAGGCTGACTGAAACCACCTACAGTGGGAAGGTGTGGGAGGCAGAGAGCAGCCTTTGTCCAGCATCTCGCTCACTGGCACTGACACGCAGCCAGGAGCCCATTTACACCGAGGATCTAATGGTGAGTTTGCCACTTTCTCTGGGAGTGGACATGGGTGCATTTGGTCACTAGGATTGGAGAGAACTCAAGTAGTTTGACCAACCTGGATTTTATGTAGGATAAAACTTGTACGTATGTGGAGTAGGGCAGCAGTGAGTGGCTTCCACATGACCTTGCTGAGAGCCTGGGACAGTGATGCATCTAGAATTCATAGGGAAACTACTTCCATGTGGCTGTTCTTACTTCTCCAGGGTTCTCGTTCCTCTCTGGACACAGCCTCATGCCGTAGTGTGGACTCTGCCCGCCCCGTGGGACAGATAGACAGGCACATCCAGCTGATGGTTCATGGTGTTGCCCCAGCAGGTATGCATTACAGCAACTGGCAGCAGATAGACTGTGCTGATGTAAAGCAGAGGGTTAGAGCTCTGCTCCCTGCCCTCTTTGCTTGAAGAGCAGAGGAAGTATCTCCCTCCTGAGCAAGCTGCTCTTCCTTAGCCCAGAGCTGCTCTCTGTTCTGTCTGAATGGGAATGTAAACAAAGGATCCGTGGCAGATCTGCTCCAGCAGACCATGTGGCTTATGCCAACTTCCCCTGTGCATGAGTGCATTTGTCTTTGCCTACTGCCCCAGCAGTCTTCTGTGATCATGAACAGGTAGAAAAAGATGTCTGAAGAAGCTGATGGTGGGAAAGCTCATGTTCCCTGTGGGAAGTGAGGGTGGCACATCCTGAACAGACAGGGAAGGCTGGTTATGGCCATGCTTACTGGATGGGGTGAAAAAACTGCTTGTACCTCTGCTTACTTGTCAGGGCCTGAGATCACAGACGAGCTGGTGAAAGTGCTGCGCAGACGCCTGGATGAGGCCACCCTGGATATCATCACTGTGATGCTGGTGCGGAACTGCAAGCTGACCCCAGCAGATGTGGAGGTACCTCACTGGCTGTCTGCTCTATTCATCCCAGAGCCCAGAACATTTTTCTATATTTTGACCTGTCTCAGCCTCTCCTGCCCTAAACAAGACCAGGACAGTTTGCTGCATCCCATTCCCTGCTCCAGTGCTTGGTCAGACTAGTGTTCACTGAGGTATACACTATGTGGGTGCCAGGGTAGGTGGGAGATCCCCTTTGCTGGATTTGCAGCATGACAGGACCTCCCTGTGTGTACCCCTGGAATATCTGCCCACATCTGTCCCAGGGCACTGTCTATGGGGCTGAGTTCTGCCCACCACACTGTCCCTTTGCACAGCTAGTTGGCATAATTTGTATCAGTATTAGAGCCCCAGGGCACTCTGCTAGTCCAAGCTGAGTTTTAGAGCCTTCTCTGTGTAGTTTATCCAGCCCCCTGGGACGCCACCCACAGAGGTCCTGCAGTTCACACTGCCGCCCTCCGCCCTGCCTTGGCTGCATGCTGTGGCCTACTACCTGCGCCAGAACCTGCTCATCTTCCTTCACACCCCGAAGTACACCGACAGCAATGTGGAGCATCACTTCAAGGTGAGGAGGGCTGAGAGTCGGGACAGCCGTGCGCCCAGCTTCTACATGCTGCTGGGAGTGTGTTTTGGGGCAGCTCAGACACCATGTTCCCAGCTCTGCCATGTAAGGTTGGGGAGAAACTCACACTGAATCCTGAAGCCTGGGGGAGTTTTGCAGGACTGTGAGCACATCCTGTTTAGCCTGGACAGGCCTTGCTTTCACACAAGTGATCACTTCCTGTGCAAAAAAAGCAGCAACCACAAAGCTCATGCCCACAATTATCTCTCAGGAGCTTGGGACAAGGCCCCCTTTCAAAGCTGTACTTGGCTCCTTGCATGATTCCATCAGATCTAAGGACTGTGGAACATCAGGATTAATAAAAGCGTGGCCTTCGCAAAGACAGAGGGTGAGGCCAGATGTGTAGTACTATATACCTCTGCATAGTGCTGTGAGGGGTTCCTTCAGCCCAGCTGGTGAAGGCTGTGCTGGCAAGTGTTTTTGAGTAAGTCTGGATTTGCTTGCTACAGGTCTGGGGATGAGCTCTGCACACACGTGGGCCTCTGCTTCCAGTTAAGGCAAGTTCTCTAATCTCTGTCACTGTTCTTCCTTTTTCTCCTTAGCACTACTTCAACCACAATGGAAGCATCCCTGACCAGGATCTCTATCTCTACAACAAGCCAGGTGGCCAAGGCACTGGTGGAAAAGGTATCAACTCTTCTGAAACAGAGGATGGGGCTGTGTGTTGGAGTGCTGTTTTCCCATGCTGGAGAGCTATGAGTCACTGTGGAAAGCCTGGGGTGGTGTGTTCCTCCGATGGCTGGAAGTTGGCCAGGGTGTGTGCCTGAGGGACTGCACACCTTTGCATGTGTGGTAGAGCGAGTTAAAGTCTCCCACAGAGCAACTTGCTAAGCTTGACAGGTTGCTGCAAGAAGCAGCTCTAGGTTGCAGTAGCTGTGGGACAAGACACAACAAGAACTCAGTGTGGGGCACAGAGACTCGGGGGCTGGAGATAGGAGCAGGGACAGTTGTTGCAGGAGCCTCGCTGCAAAAGAAAATGTGGCTGCACGTAACAGAGCATGAGCTGTGAGGGTGATGTCCTTGTTCTTTTCTCTGTACTGCTGGAGGAGGGATTGGATAGGGCCCTTGCTGCAGGCCGTCATGCCATGTTTTGTCCAGGCCGTGTGGTCTGTCACCTGGCTATTGTGTGTCTTGTGCCCCTCGTGCACTGTTTGAATGTTCTTCTGTTATGTAGGTACCATGTCGGACCTTGTGCAGCACCTCTTTCCACTCTCCCACTTCCAAGGTAGCACCTGTGGCTCCAAGTATTACTCCATCTCCTTTTCCCGTGCAGCTCCCTGGCCCCTCTGGTCCCTGCTCTTCTTGTTTTCCCTGTGTTGTGGCTTCAGCTCTGAGTCCTCTGTGTGTCTGTGTGTGTATGTCCATTTAGCTGAGCCTCCTGTTTCTTGCTGGCTGGATAAATGAGCAAACAGAACCTGCTGCCCTGAGATGGCAGCTCTGTGAATCCCAGCGGCTGAGGGTGCTGCCCTGTTAGCTTGCAAGCAGTGAACTCCAAAATCCTGCATCTTTTTTCCCACAGGTCCAAACAGGTATCTCCTCCCCAAGGAAGATGGGAGTCACGATGTTTCAGCTGTCGTTGATGCTCCACTCTCCCAGCGGCTGTGTCCTGGGGTGGAGGGTTCCCTTGCACGGCAAGGGGCTTGAGTGGCTGGGCACCACTAGATGTGTGCTTTGTATTTCAGTGAGCCTGGATCAGAGGGAGCTCACAGTCCCTCACAGATGGGAGATAAAAGCTCCCTAGCACCCCACCTCCAGTGCACCAGGTAGTAAGACGCTTGGCAGTTCCTGCTAATGTAGCTCTTCCTATAGCCTCAGAGCTCAGGTCTTGAGTTTTTTAGCTGTTTCTTACCTGTGATTTAGTGATTGCTTTTCAGCTTCTCTGTGCTCCTGGAAGCTTTTTTCCCTGTGGCACAGAGGAGAGAGCCTTTCTGCTGGTGGTGCAGGGGCAGGCTGCTGCCCTGGCCTGCTTGCAAGCACTGCTGTGTGTACTCCCTCTCTGGAGCTTGTGTCCCAGGACAAGGAGGACGTGGGACTTTGTGGTTGGTTGTTCTCATGCCCTCAGCTCAGACAGACTGAAGCAGAGCAGACGTAGAGAAATAAGTGTGATAGGGAAATATGCCAGAGGTTCAAGCATCTGGGTGTGGTAATTTATCCAGGAGGAGAAGAGGGGAGTGACTACATCATGGTCTATAGTCATGGTCATTTTGGTGGGCCTGGAGCTGACTCCCAAGCCAGACTGTTGAGGAGTTTGTGCCCTTTATGGTTTAAAGAAAGTCTGATTGGTAGAGCTCATATTCACTGTCATGTGGGGCAGATTTGCTGCTCTTGATACTTCTGTATTGACATCCACATCCCTGTGGAGCTGCAAGGTGGGAGGTTTCCTACCCTGTCCTGAAGGAGCATAAGGCTGGGTAAAATCCTGGTCCCCTCTACCTTTGATAGTTAGGGAATTATGAACGTCTCCGTTGTTTGCTGGATAAAGGGTTGCTGTGCCTGTCTCGGGGAGGCTGTTGCAGAGCACTTCTGAGACAAGGCAGGTCCTGTACTTTTCTTCAAGTGGAGTGGTGCTTATAGGTATAGTTTTCTTTCCTAGGTGTGGATGCCCATGAGCCTCCCTCTGACTTGAATGCCTACCTCTCTCCTTTGTGAGCAGCTCTCTCCAACCCAATGCATTCTCCCTTGCATCTGCCATACCTTGGAGGAAGGATTGCTGCAGAACTTATGCTTCACTAGGAATGATGGAGACCAGGTGGTTGTGCTGCTGCTGCTGAGACCTGGGCACAGCCTCTTTGGGCTGGATTTGTTTCAGCACAGGGAGGACATTGGTCCTCAGTGTGGTGCTGTGGATCCAGTCAGGGGCAGTTCAGTTTCTCAGTGGCAGCAGAGTCTGGTGTCACTTCCATCCTTGCTGGGATGGAGAAGGACAGTGTATGAACTCAGCAGTTCTGTGAAGCTGAGGTTCTTTGCAGCTGGGCACATCACCCTTTGGCAGTATTGGGGCAGCTTTGCCATCCAGTCACCTCAGTGCTGGCTTAGTCAAGGGGCTTTGAAAGGGAATGGGAACATCTAGGGTTACATCATGAGGTTTGGACCTCACAGCTGCTTCCGTGCTGCTGCTTCCCTGGTGTCCTGGCCATTGAGCTGGGCCATGGGGAATCAGCTCTTGTTTCCACTCTGGTCCATAGCAGGGCTTCTCTTGTGTGGCCAGAGCGTACAGCATGTGGGCTGTGAAGCAGGAACCACACTGCTGCTCTGCATCTCTGAGCTGTCCTGTTGTGTGTGCACAGGGCTCAGCATAAAGAGGCAACAGACAGGGCCTGAATTTTTCTCTGCAGCAACTCCAGACTAATACTAGGTGTCAGTCTGCCTTGTCCCCAGTCCTGCTGGTTGGAGTGCATGGGGAAGGCATGTGATCTTGTTTGGGTGTACAGTGAGGAGGGGGCTGTGAGTGTAATCTGCAGCAAAGTGTCATGTCTGCAGGGACTTGAGGTCCTTCACAGCCTGGAGAGGACTGCTGATGAGTACCCATGCTCTGTACTCTGACTCTTAGGAGGGTGGGGATGGTGAACCCCATCCTGAATCAATCTGCATAAAGGCCCTCCTGGTGCATATGAAGATACATCCTCTTGCATATGGGGCTGGACAAGTCAGAAAGCTCCCACAGGGCAACGTGAAGTCTGCTATGACTCTACAGGAGAGGGATTCTTGGAATGATGGGGACACCGTATGCTTCTTACCCTGGCTCCCCACAGGCACAGCTGGCCTCTGCTCCCCTGGCTGCCTCCCCTCCTGTGGGCCCTGCCTGCCACGTGGCACTGTGCAACTCAAGTGGTGACACAACAGTCCCAGCTATGGGGTGGCAGGCTGTAGGCAGGAGTTGTAGGGGTGTAGTTGGTGCTGGGCTGATCAAGGCTCTGCCCACAGGAATCGCGTGTATTGCACTGACATTTGTGGATGAGCATGGCAGCCCCACCTTGCTGCCCCACTGGGAGAGGCCTGACCCTCTGAAGCTGCCTTCCTCCTCCCCCGTCGTGGGCCTGCTGCAGGACACCGACTTTGAAAGCCTCACTGCGGTCAGCAGGCACCAGCCAGAGGCTGACACCCTGCCTGCAGGTAGGGAGTGAAACAGACCACAAGCTGCCACTTCCCTGCTGCCACCACATCCCCTGGGGCACCTAGGAGGGCTGGTGAAGGCAGGGTTGCATAGCCATGCAGGGCTGCCCTTTCCCCACAGAGCCCTGCGTGCTGGTGCGCCTGGATATCTGGGAAAAGGGCAACATCAGCCTGCTGCAGCTGTCGGAGAAGCTGCGCGGGGCCCTGCGTCATGCTCTCTGTGATGCCGTCATGGAGTTCCTTGTGCTGCCAGCCCCGCTCTGCATGGAAGCTGCCTGCCCCTTGAGTGCTGCAGACCTGGAGGACCTGAGCTCTCCAGGTGAGAGCTCAGCCAGGATGGCCACCTTGAGCCTCCAGCCAGCCTTGCTCCTCCTGCCTGGCCTGCAGGAGCTTAGCTGTGCCAGGGGGAATCAAGTTGTGTGGACCAGGAGGGAGGAAGCTGCTCTCCCCTCTGCAAGCTGTGGTATGTGATGTCTCAGGGAAGATGCATCATAGATATTAGTGTTGGAAGAGATATTCAAAAGTCTGTGTGCTCCCCAAGACTGAATCCACTTTGTTGGATGTTACTGAGGGCTGTCCCTTGTCTCTAGCCAGGCTCTGGCCAGACACAGCAGAGTGCATAGGAACAACAGCAGCATTGCAGCAGGAGGCTCTGGGGAGTCTGATTTGCTTTGTCTCCACAGGAGGCCTAAGGAGGACCATGTCAGAGACCAAGGGCCTGGCCCTGGCCAGTGGTGGGGCTGGCAGGAGCTGTCCTCCACCCTTGCACTTCACCTCTGCCCCTTCGCCCAGCTCTGGAGAGCCAGTGACACCCACGAGCAAGCTGACACGCCGCAGCTTGTGGGACATGCTGGTAATGTTGCTGAAGGAACCAGTAGGGAGCAGGGCCTGTAAGTCCTCGTGATGTGTCAGGCCAGGAGGAATGCAGGGGAGGAATCTGACTGGGGGTGGGAGGCCAGGCTGGCCACAGGGACTTTGAGAGCAAGGCATTGGCTAGGCTGTATGTGTGCACAGCATTAACTTACCTCTTTCTCCCCTAGAGCAAGGCAGAGCCCTCGGAGCTGGGCAGCCCCAAGACTACCGATGACATTGTGCTGGAGAGGCCAGAAGAGGCTCGCACGAGGCGGCGGCCCAAGACTGAGAATGTCAAACAGCACCTGAGCCAGGATCGGGCCACAGCCACAGCTGAACTGGAACAGGCACAGAGGCAAGCACAGCCTGCAGGCTGGGCAGCCAGAATGTTGTTCCCTTCATCTGCTGTGCGTCGGTCTGCAGCCTGACATCCTGCTGGTTCTCTGTGTCTCAATCCTCTGAACCACATTCCTTTTCCTTGTAGTTTCTCCCTTACATAGACAGTTTAGAAGGACTGCCTTCCACACACAAAGCTTATTGCTGGAGTGCTGGTGGGAGTACAGGTGGTTCTTTCCAACAGAGATCCCTTCTCTGCATTGTGGGGCCCTGTGTAACATCTGACACCCCTACGGCTACTGACCAAGAGTGACCCAGCTCAGGGATTGTATTAACCCAGAAAGGAGGTTCCTGGGGCTCTGCTCTGGAACTAGGAGGGGACTGATGCACTTTTGTGCCTTCACTGCTGTTGGCTGATCTGGTATAACTGTACTTCCTTTTCCTCTTCCCAGGCGCCGAGCCTGCCAGTTGGAAGAAGGGGATGTAGGTACCATGCACCCGCTCTTCAATCAAACCTGCCAGCAGTGGATGTCATTCATGAACCACCTGGGTATGTGTCTCAGGCCCCAGCTTCTCCAGATGGGCTGGGAGAGGGCCTTTCTACGCAGAGCTCTGAGGACAAGTCCTCATATGGCACCATCTGTCTTCATCCCTTGCCAATCTCTGCCTAGTTGCACACCCTGTCTCTCCCCAACTCCACCAGTCCCATTGGTCTCAGGGCCAGCATCAGCATTTGAAAGCTGTTGTAGTAGTCCTGTCCTGTGTCTGTGCATCTGAGCAAACCTGCTAAGGCCCATGATTACATCTACCATGCTCCAAGTCCAGGGTTTGTTAGACTTGGCTGCAGCTCCATTGGAGAGACCTGGATTTCAACAACCAGCTGTGGTAGTGATTTAATTCCCAGATGTAGCTGGGATGAAGGATCTGAACTGCTGCAACATTGCTCTGGGACTATGAAGTTACATGGGAGACAGTCATGCAGGGAGGGAGGAATAGGAGTAGGGTTGCACTTCATGTGATGGGATTTGGGTTTGTGTGGCTGCCCGGGTTGCTACTTTCTGATTACTTTTCATCTTGTTTGTACATCCTCTCATGCTCCAGCTGGCAAGGTAGAGCTCTTCTCTTCCTCTGGTGAGGAGTAAGCCAGGGAAAAAGGAGTAAATGGGGGAATACAGCTCTGTGCTCATAGTCAAGGTCTACTTCAGGGAGTCTGATCCAGGTCTACTTCAGGCCACAGCCTGAAACCAGGGGTTATTTCAGCCTCTGTCTTCTCCTCCATATAAGGTTCTTGTTCTCCATCTCTGCCTGCCTCAGTCTCTTGGCCCTCTCCCCAGCTGATGTGGGCAGGATGTGACTCTGGGGCAGCTTGGCACCTAGTCCTACAGTACCTCTTCCATGCAGGGTGCCCATCAGTGCAGCAGTGCTCATTGGAGATGGTTTCCCGTTTCCTCCTGTCCTCCATCCTAGTAGAAGTGGTGAACCTGGTCACTGCTCTGGCGAGCGACACCACTGTCAAGGTGTTTGAGCAGATCTGGTGAGTTGCACGTTTCACAAGCTGCTGTTTGGCATTGCAAATGTTGATCAGCTGTGCCAGCCTCTGCTCCCACGGCTCTACTCATCAGCCACCTTTGGGGCTCTTCCTTTGCAGCTATCATCGGGGCACTGCCTTCCTGCCGTATAAGCCTGGCCAGAGTTCCAGCCCTCGCCCTGCAGCTGTCAGGCACTTCATCCTGCTGGGACGCAACTTCCAGCAGTGGCGTTGCAGCACAGAACAGGGTGAGTGCCTGGCCATGGTCCCCAGGACTGTGTGCTGGGGTCATGTTTGATCAGAATTCCTCTCCTTGCTGGGAGAGACCGCTTGTGGGTTGTCTGGTTTTGCCTCCGGAGACCTTTTTCTCAAATTTGCTTGTAATTGCTTATTTCAAGAAAAGCTGAGCAGTACTGTGGCATGGCACCTTTAACGGCATGTGGGATGTAAGAGCAGGATGAACTGGTACTGAGGGTCATAACTGTGGCTTCTTGCAGCTCACAAAGGGCTCCAGCGCTTTGAGGCCATGGAGCTCAGCTCGGCAGAGAGAGGCTCTGATCCCAGCCTTGTTGGTCGAGACCTGGTGCCCCGGCAAAGATTCCTCTTCATGGAGATCATTGACAAAAAGGTAAGGATGTTGTCTCCTGAAAGGCTGTTCCCAACTGGCCTAGGGCTAGAAAGAAGAGAGGCAGAGTGCCTCTGCAGGCAACCAACCAGCCTTCTGTAGAAAAGAGTCCTCCAAAGCAGCTGTGCAGGATGTCTCTGCTTGTTCTACAAGCAGAGCTGTGGGTTCCCTGCAGAGCTCTAGGGAGTGCCATAGGCAGCAGGTCTCTCTGTCTCTGCCTTATATCCCACTGTGGGCTGTAGTTGCCCTTTCCCTCCTCACAAGGCCCACACCAGGCTGAGCACTTGTGCTGCCAGTGCAAACACCACCACCAGTGCTGTGGCTGTTAACAGGGGGCTGTGAATGAGCTGTTGTCACTCCTGTCCCAGCCTGAAAATAACTGCAACTGCAGCAAGTACTGCCCAGAACACCTGGGGCAGCTTGTGTCACCATGCAGGCCCTTTCTGAGATGGCCCTTCAGCTGTTCTCCCACTCCTTTCTCTCCAGCTGACACTCTACACCTACAACTGGTCCCCAGACCTGGGGGCAAACCTGAACTGCTCCCTGACTCGCCTGTTGCAGTGGCAGAATGCCCGGTCCCACATCGTGCACTGCCTGCTCAGCCAGAAGATGGGACTCTTCCACCACCACTGTTTCATGGACACACCATGGCATGAGGACAGCAAGCAGGTCGGGCACCCGTCTGGGCAGGGCAGTCCTTTCTTCTTCAGGAGGGTCCTGGGCAGTTTGGGAGTCTAAGGAAGGTTGTAGGCATCTGTGCTTTAGTATGCCAGTTGGCAGGGTGTCTCCAGCCACTCACATGTCTGACTGTGACTGTGTCCAGCCAGGCTGTTGCTGTCTACTCCTGGAGTGGAAAGGGAAGCCAGGTTCTGCTGCTGGCAGCACTTAATTGTGACTGAATTAATTAGGGTGAAGAAGGCTGGGGAATGGGCTTCCAACTACACATTAGGAACATGCTGGTCCCAGGCCTGCTTTCCTTGGGACTGGTAGTGGAGAAGGCTAACAGAGATGCCTGCAGATAGCCAAAACTGGATTTACTCCGTTCTTGTGGCTTCTTGCTCAAAGGCTGGCATTAAGGAGGCTTTCATGGTTGTGTCTGCTTGACTAGGAGCCAAATCCTTTCCTGAACTCCACTTTGGAGGTGGATGCACTGATCCGGAGCTCCTGTCCCCCACCTAGCAAGGAGCAAGGCCGGCTGAGCAGCTCTGCCCGCAGTCTGCCATCTCTGCACTTCCATCCCGATGTGGTGCCCTTTGATGAAGCTCTGCGGGATGTTACCACCATCAAGCGCATACCCCATGGGCCTGACTCGGGACCTTTCGACCCTGTGGCTTGGCATGGGGCCCAGTTCCTGGAAATCAAGAGCATGGAAAGGAAAGGTAAAGCAAGGGGGCTGATATCACGAGAGCCTGCCTAATCATCCTGTTTCTGGAAAAGTAGCTCAGAAAGAGCAGAACAAGAGTTTTGACAAGGGTCAGTTTTCTATGGGAATGGGTTATGGCTGGTTTAAGTGGGAGTGAAGGAGAGAGTCAATACTTGCAGTAGTGATGATGCTCTTGTGACTGCTCTCTTCCTGCCAGAACTGGAAAAACAGATGAAGATCGAAAATCTCTTTGTTACCTGGCAGCAGAGATCAGCGCAGTCCAACATGCCTATCAGTGTGAGTGCAGCCTGGGTGGGTGGTAGACTGAGCCTTATTACAGCACACTGGGCACACCAGCTTTCCTGTGGCAAAGGGGAACACTGGAGCTCTGAGCACAGTGTATGCTGGGGATGGTGCTTGGCAGTAGAGCAATTCTGTGTGCTTGAACTTTTGGGGTTGCTGGGCTCTAGCACCACACTTTGCCATAGGGCCTCACTGCCCAGCACTGGAAAGGCTGTAAAGCCAGGGGGATCCCTCTAGCATTTATCTCTGTGCAGCAGTGTAGTATTGTGGACAACTTGTTCCCAGGCTCGATGAGGGGTGTGCGCTGTAACCATGCCCCTCTTGTGCCATGCAGCTGGCAGACCTGGAGACCCTGAAGCAGTCCTCACGCCTGGTTCACTACTGTGCTACCCCCTTGCTCTTTGACCCAGCCTTCCGGCAGCAAATCCAGACTGACCAGCTGGGCAAGGTAGAGGGAAAGGTGAGTGTCAGCAAGCACCAGTGGGGTTGGACTTTGTGCACTGGGACAAAGGATGGCTTTGCAAGATTTTGCCAAGACAGGACTGCTCTGAGCTCACTCCTGCATTACAGGATGAATTTGAACCCTGTAAGATGGAGACTGAGAAAATAGTTGGGTCCTCAAAGCCTGCAACCACACCATGGGGAAGACTGATTTCCTTTTCTGCCCAGAGAATTCAGGGCTGAGCCTAGTGAAGCCATCAGAGAGCACTGTCTGGTACTGATCTGTTGGGGAAGCAAAACTTCCCTTATGCATTCAGCAGCCAGACCTGGTAAACCTTTCCTGGACCCAGCGAATAATGGGAACAATTGAAAGCAAACCAGCTGAATCGTGAGCAGGTTGCAACCTGACAGACTCTAACCGGTGCAGATCCCATACCGGCTGTTCATGGTCTGTACGTGTGTCAGAAGGGACAAACAGGCTGTTGTAATTTATCAAAATGTCAAAAGGATTCTGACAGGGTCTTTAAGCAGAGGTTGCTACAGAAATTGAGCACTCAAAAGTGAAAGACAAAGTATCATCACAGAATGAAAACTTCACTTTGTTTTTGGAACAGAGCAAAGTGAAAATTGGTTATTGAATTTGAAGAGCCTGGCAGCAGGGGTTTGAAGGTGGTGTATTGGGTTCTGTATTTCTAGATCATTTATTGGTACATATGAGATGCCAAGCTGTGCAGTGCTGTAGGGCTGTTCAGATTGGTCAGAACAGAAAAAAGACTGCAAGGAACTCGAGAGGCACCTGAGTAGCCTGTGAAATGAGAGCTATTGTGGGAGCTGGGACCTGTTTCCCAGTAAAGCAAAGCACAATGTGGAGAGAAATTTGATCCTCCTGTATTGTACGCTCATTGCAAAGCCTGTACAGAACAAACATCTCAGTGGGGTTCTTCAGTTTGTGAACATGGATACAAAAAACACACTGGTTAGAGTACATCAGAAAGGGTGTTAGTGTAATGGGTAATATGCCAGTAAGTTTCTAAAATACTAGTGTATTAACATCTTCATCTGGACAGGAAGCGTGAGACTAAGCACCTTGTGGCAAAGGCACTGAACTGGAGAGACTTTGAGAAGGTTAGAGAGTAGCTGGAGAGATGCCAGTAAAGAGACAGCTCCTGTGGTAGGTGGAGCAGATAGGCAGGCTTGAAGTTGAGAGATCAAGAAAAGAAACCTCTCACAGCACAAAGAAAAGGAGTATCCAAGACATCAAAAGGAGAACTGAAAATGTTTAAAAGGAAACGCTATTCTTTTTCAGTTGCTACTGAACTGCTCATAAATCCTGAGAAGTCAGCAGGATTCATAAGGGAATTAGATTCTTACCATGGCAGTGGGAGCTGAAGCTCTGTTGAGCTTTGCATGAAGTAGCTTGGGTCAGTCCATGTCTGGGTAAATCCTGGATCTTGTATTTTGGCACGTGCACTAGGACAGTGTTTGGGGAACCAGCTGTCCGCTCTCTTTGGCAGAGAGATCTGCCCTCCACTCAACCTGGGCACCTGGTGGTATCTCAGTGAGTGCCCTCTGCAGGGGCCAATCACAACAAGTCTCCTTAGGAACTTATTTTTTGTTCCAGAAGCGCCACCGCTCAAATGACTCTACAGCTTCAGGAAGAGACCGCAGCCACAGCTGTGACTCTGCAGAAGCACTGCCCTGCAAGGTGAAGGAGGAGCCTTGGCTGCAGGAGATGTGCAATACCTTCTTGCAGCAATACATCCAGTACCTGCAGAGTATGGGCTTCATTCTGGTCCAGGTGCGGCCACCCTCACCTACCACTCGCAGGTCAGTGACATTCTGGGAACCCTGTTGTTGGAGAAGAGCCAACACATTGAGCTGTGTCCTGGTTTGACACAACAGGAGATCTTGGCTCCCCTACTCTAAGCTGTCTCTGCTGTCATTTCCAGTAGCACAAGCCGGATCCGAGCTCTGGCAGCAATGGGTGTGGAGGGAAGAGGGTCCTTTTCCTACACGAAGCCGAAAACAGAAGGGAGTCCAAAGGTGAGTGCATGCCTGTTATGGGGTGGAACTGGGATGGAAGTCAGGCTGTGGAGGGAGCAGTTCTCTTGGTTGGCTTAAGAATCAGTTTCAGGCAGAAAGGATGTGAGAGGGCAGAGAAAGCACCAAAGCCAAAAAAAGTCTGTTAGACCAGCACCACCTTTGGGCTATCAGGTCAGATAAGAGCTCCTTGTCCTCCTGTGTGTCCTCCTGCAGGCCTTGGAGGCTCTTCTTGGGACTGGGTGGAACCAGGGCAAATCTCAAAAGGATGGCAATAATTTGGAGTGGCTCAGAAAAGGAACAGGGGTCAGGACAGCTGCCTTTGGGTGGGATTCTGGAGGTTTACCTGTCAGAAAATCCTCAGTATCTATGGCTAAGGGCAACTCTGAGGCAGAAGAATCTCTTATTTAAAGTGAGATGAATGCTGAAGTGGAAGAAGTTAGAGAAGATAAGGCTGGAATTGCTCTACTGTGAGAGCAGACTGAAGTTCCTCATGTCTAAAGAAGTGACAGCTAGGGAGGCACTGGTCAGAGCTTTACCAAATTGCAGCTAACCTGGAAAGGGATTGACCCTTTGCTGCCTTATTCAGTACAACACCTAGAGACCATCAAATAAAAGTATTTGGAGCCAGTTTCAAAACTAAAGGAAGTGTTTCTTTGAGCAGCAGCTAACTGGTCATCATCAAAAGATTTTGTGAACACCAAGAGCTTACATGAGTCTTATTAATGTGAGCTTACAATACAGAATAGGTAAGTACCTGGAGGAGGAATCCATTGGAGGACAGGTAGGCCGAAACCACCTGTGGCTCATGGAATCACCCATGAACAATGAGACTGTATAGCATTTAATCACCCTTTTCTGACACTTTACTAGCACCTGACTTTGGCTGATGTGGGCACAGGACTGTGGATAAGACACCTTGCAGTTAAAATGAGAAGAGAGTAGTCCATTGAGACAAAACATGGCAAATGAATTTGCTGTCAGCTAAACTCTGCTGTTAGAGACTGGATATCTCCTATAGCTGCTGTGTCAGGCAGATGTGGTTGTCCAAGGGAAGCCTCATCAGGGAGTGAGGTTCTGTGGGCAGCATCATTCCTTGGCCCACAGTGTCCTTGAACCATAGAGATAGCCTGGCCTGAGCAAGCAGGAGGTGAAGGGAGAAGTGTGCCTGGTGTGCTCTCTCAGAGACTGTTTATTAGATTTGTTAGGATTCTTTTCACTGTTAACTCTGGCATGTCTGCTCTCCTTGCTCCAGTGAGGTTGTTCAGTTAATGAGGCTCCTCTATTCCACCTCTGCCACAGAGCCTCATGGCAGCCTTGCACCCTAGTGTGCCTGGGAGCCTCTTGAGCTTTGTCCTTCTCTTCCCAGAGCACAAGCCCTGCTGTTGCCACCTACCATCTACAGAGAGCTCTTCCAGGTGGGATTGTACTCATGGAGTTGGCCTTCCAGGTAAGAAAGAACAAGAAACAAAGTATGATGTCTGGGGGTTCAGGGATAGTCTTCAGAGGTGACAAAGGGAGTGATGAGGAGTGCAGCAAGGACATGTGATTCTTCACTTCTTGTCCTGCTTCTTCCATGAAGTACTTTGGATCAGCTGGAGGTCATTCTGCAGGGCTCAGAGCAGTAAGAATTGCCTGGGGCAGAGATAGTAAATGGCTCAGCACCAGTTAAGGTGCTCTGTGCTCAGCCACATGTTGGCTGGTTCAGACAGGAGGGGAGACAGAACATGGGGCAAGAGTGTCTGGGACCCAGCCCACAGGGTGAAGCACAGAGGCTATGCTCCTTCCCTGGAGAGGCCCAAGGCCTGTGCTGTTCTCACATGCTCTCTCCTCCAGGGCTGTTACTTCTGTGTGAAGCAGTATGCGCTGGAGTGCTCGCGGATCCCCATGGGCCAGTCTGTGAACTCTCAGGTAATGGTTTTGCAGGCACAGCTGGTGCTCCTTAGGGTCAGGGGATGGTTTGGGGGAGGCAGTGATCTCTGGAACAGAATGGGCATTTCAGGTGTAGCAAATTCTGGAGAGCTCTGCTCCCTCTTCATGGAAAAGCAGAACTGCACAGAGCCTTCTGCAGCCACGTGCCTGCCACAGCATGGTGCTTCAGCAGATCTGGAGTGCAGTGAAAGGGGTGGGAGGTTTGGCAAGAGGATGACTCTTGTCCTAGCCTGGGGAACAACACAGAGCAGACTGGGGAGGCATAGGAGTAATTCTGGCACAGATGTGACTGCTCAAGGGAAAGTCACTGCATGAAAAGCCAGAAGCTCTCTGCTTCCCTTGGAACAAGAAGGAAGCGGAATGGGAGCAGGGATCTGTGAACATGATTGTCAGAAGAGATCACTTTCTGCACCATGAGCCCTGGTTCTTTATACCTCTGTGCCTTGCTCTACAACACTGGGTTTCCTGCTCCCTTCTCTCTGGTGTGTCAGAGTGTCTCCGGCCTATCCTCAGGGCACTGGGTGGCTGTCTAAAGGCTGGCCAGCTCCAGCCTGTCTGAGACAGGAGGCATGCATGACTATACTGTCCTTTCCAAGGTGGCTCTATAGCAAGGCTGCTTCTTATGTATGCCAAGAGTGGCTCTCCGAAGCTGAGAGCCTGCCAGGCCCTTGTCTGAAGGTTTGCTGAGCCTTTCCTGGAAAGCTCACGCACGCACAGGGCAGTGTTACCAGGCTGCATCTGGCGCTGCAGGGAACATGCAGGCTCTCTGGCTGACTTGGGGGAAGACTTTGCCTGGTTTTGCAGTGGGATAGTCCTGGGAGCAGCGGACAAGAGGCGTGGGAGTTGCTACAGTAGCCTGGCCAGCCTTCCCGTACTCCGGGACTAACCCACAGCTCCCTCAAGTGGGGCAGTTGAGCTCCTCTGCCCCTTCTCCCCCTTCTCCCCCCTTCCCACCTTGGGCCTGTGCAGGAACAGGGCTGGGCAGTGCCTTATCTCTCTTCCCACTGGCTGTGCATCTCTCTCCATCAGGACACTCTTACAGTCAGAGTTCGCAGCAAGAGCTGCATGGGACCCAGCTCCATCTCTGAGTCTGCGGTATGTCCTCTCCTCCCACTGTCACGCTGAGCACAGCAGGACCTGCCAGTGTAGGGCTGAATGTTCCACTGGCTGTGCTTCCACTCTTCCTGCCCCAGCACCTGGCTACGGGAGCTGCCTCTTGCCTCCTGTGCCAATGCCTTCCTAATAGTACATACCACAGTGGGCAGCACAGCTTGAGAGGAGGATGGGGTGGGCTCCAGATGCTGGCATGGGGGCAACACCTTGCGTTTCTTGCTCTTCAACCCACCTGTCCTGGGGCAGGGCTGTAGGCTCCTCTCCAGGCTTGTCCTGGCTATGCAATTTGCCCTCTGGTTCATGCAGCAGCCTGTTCTCCCAGTGCCTCCTACCTGCTGGTTTTCCCTGCTTGTCCCACTCTTAAACCAAGGGATTGTGATGTGGGTCAACTGCCCAAAGGTGTCAGAGAGCCAAAAAACTGTGGACTCCTGTCATGAGGGCAAGACTGAGGCCTTCACCAGTGCTGTCCCCTGGCACAGTAGCTGCAGTTGTGCCAGGAGCATGGCCAAGGGTGACTGTTTGAAGGGTGGTGCTGCTCCGGTGAAGAACTGGCACACTGTGCAGCTGGTGATGGCCACGTGCTGGAGGGATCCTCTCCAGGCACAGCTGTGTCACACCAGCCATCGCTGGGGCCTGAGTGCCTGTTACTGAGCACAGGGCACCTGCTACTGTTGCCCATCTCTGTGTCCAGCCACTCTACACAGGCCCCTGTGCTGCCTCCTGCTCTCAAGGGACATCCAGGGAGTCTTTGCCTGTAGATCCAGAACTTGCTGGGACTTCATCTCTGGTGTGTCCTGTACCCACTTGAGGACTAGGCAGTGCAGAGCAGTGCTCAGCTGAAAGGAGGCTCTGTCCACAGCCATGTGGCTTTCAGCTCAAGGTGAGGATGAACCTCAAGCCAAAAGGGAGGCAGTGCCGATCAGTCTGTGTTGCTACTGGAGACCAGGATGAGGTCAAGTGTGGAAGGAGTCACCAAGCTGGATCACTTGGGGCCAGACCTACTGGTCTGCTATTTGCACTATGCACACAGCTTCTAGGCTGCATCCAGCTCTGATGCTGGGGCAGCTGCACTGGCTCGGCCGTGCCATGTTGTCAGCAGGGCTTTGCGGGAGGATGTGAGGTGCCTGGTAACATTCCTGTCTTGACTCCCTGTCCCTCCGCAGCTCTCTATGCTCTTCACAGAGGAGTGTGACAAGGTGCGGGATCTCATGCATGTGCATTCATTCAGCTACGACTTCCACTTGCGTATAGTCCACCAGTATCTGCTGGGCTCCCACATGACTCTTCGCCAAGGCTACCATCTCACCAGCTTCCTGGAGGATTTCATTGCCCACCACCCTGACATTCCCAAATTTGGCCGCAACCACGTTTTCCAGGGTATGTAGCTCAACTTGGGGTTGATGCGCTTTACAAATAAACCTGACCTTTGGAGTATTCAGGGAGATGACAGGATGAGTGTGACATGAGGGCCTGAGCTCCAGGGGAACTCCCTGCTGCCCTGTTGTGGAAGGGAAGTGGGTTGTTCTGTCCTCAGAGTAGTTTGTAGGACTCTGCTCTGCCCAGGTAAGAGGCATGGAGTGTCTCCTGTGATGGCAATGTGTTTTCCCACTAGGCACACTGGCCCTGCCCACCAACATGATCACTGCACACCAGCTGTACAACTACATCGCTGACCACGCCAACACCTACCACATGAAACCCTTGCGCATGGCCCGTCCGGCCACGGGCAGTGACAACAAGAAGGGAACACCGGGCACAGAGCAGAATGAATATGCACTGGTCTCTATTTGGAACAGGTGAGTGCACCTGCTGCAAGTTTCTGGAGCTGCTGGAGATTGATGACACCTGCCAGTCCCGGGGACACTGCCCCAGGATGCCAGCAAAGCTGATGATCTACACAGTGCCAGACAGCAGTTCTGGCCAGCTCTTCTGAGATGGCCAACAGGGATTGCATGCATGTGTGCATGTATATTTGACATTTCCCATAGCACTTCTGAGGAGTCCGCTCTGTGGAATTCCCTGTGCCCAATGGTTCCATTGTTACCAAGAACTCTGGGGGAACAAAGTGAGGTTCCCTTCATACTGATGTGTTTTTTCTCCCAGCTCGGGCTCCTACAAGGACTCTGAAGGTCTACGTCATCATGATGACTTCGATGTGTCCCTTCTGGTGTGTCACAGTGCAGCACCATTTGAGGAGCAGAGTGAGGCAGAGAGACGCATGCTCCGGTGAGCCATGGGGCCCCGTGACACCAAAGCTTCCTGGCTGGGGAGGAGGGCTCTGGCGGGGACTGGCCCTGTCTGGGACAGCACAGGCAGGTTTCTTGCTGTCTGGGGAGGATCACTGTGGGGGCCTGGGCAGTGTGGTATCTGTCCATGTCTGGGCAGAGAAGCATCCTTTCTGCCAGGGACAGGCCCGTGGTTTGTTTGCTGTGCGGCTGAGAGGGGAGCATCCTTTCCCCAGGTCACAAGTGTCTCCTTGTTCTCAGTTTGCGCTTCTACGTCATCATGACTAGCCAGCGGGAGCTCTTTCCCCGGCTCACAGCCGATATGCGACGGTTCAAGAAGCTGCCGCGCTTGCAGCGGGAAGTGCTGGAGCCTGTGGTGGGCCGAGCGGCCTGGGAGGCAGCAGAGCCAGAGACGAGCGTGGGGCGGCAGCTGCCAGCAGAGCGGGAGCTGTGGCAGGATGTGGAGGACAGCAGTGAGTTCTAC